CCTAAAAATAGCTTAATGAAGATGATTGAGACCCTTAAAGGGGAAAGGAAAAGATCTTGACCAACTCTACATCTGACAAAGGACTGATCTCCAAAATATACAAAAAACTAGACCTCAAAAGAACAAACAATCCAATAAAAAATGGGGTACAGACTCAAACAAAGAACTCTTAACAGATGAATCTCAAATGGATGAAAGACACCTAAGGAAATGCTCAACATCCTTAATCAGAGAAATGCAAATCAAAACAATTCTGAAATATACCCTCTTAAATGTGTCAAAATGGCCAAGATCAAAAACACTGATGACAACTTATGTTGGAGAGGATGTGGGGTAAGGGGAATACTCCCCCATTGCTGGTGGGAATGCAAACTTGTACAGCCACTTTGGAAATCAGTATGGCTATTTCTCAGATAATTAGGAATCAATCTAACTCAAGATCCAGTAATACCATTCTTGGGCATATACCCAAAGGATGCTCAGTCATAACACAAGGACATGTGCTCAACTATGTTCATAGCAGCTTTGTCGGTAATAGCTAGAACCTGGAAATAACCGAGATACCCCTCAACTGAAGAACAGATAAGGAAAATGTGGTATATTTACACAATGGAACAATAAAAAATATTGACATCTTGAAATTTGTAGGCAAATGGAACTAGAAAAAGCCATACTGAGTGAGGAAAGCCATACTGAGTGAGATAACCCAGACCCAGAAAGACAAATATAATGTATTCACTCATAAATGCCTTTTATGTTGTTGTTTTGTTTTTGTTTTTTGTTTTTTTTTTTCCCCCGAGACAGGATTTCTCTGTAGCTTTGGAGCCTGTCCTGGAACTAGACCTTGTAGACCAGGCTGGCCTCGACTTGCAGAGATCCGCCTGCCTCTGCCTCCCGAGGGCTGGGATTAAAGGCGTATGCCACCACTGCCCAGCTCATAAATGCCTTTTAGGCATAAAGCAAAAAATAACCAGCTTACAGTCTGCAACCCCAGAGAACGTAGACAACAAAGAAGACTCTAAGAGAACTATACATAGTTCTGTCTAGAAAGGAGAAAAAGATAAGATCTATTGAGTAAATTGGGAACATGTGGCGCATGGGGGACGGTGGAAGGAGGGTGTGGAAAATGTATAGCTCAATTAAAAACAATGAAAGAAACCTTTTTCACATGCACTACTCTATCATTAATGCCTTCAGCAAACTGTGGGCTCAGCTCTTACAGCCTTGCAGAGGCCCAGAAGCAAGAATTTGGCTTCCTATCAATTTTTCCTCTACGAATTCTCACTTGACACAGACCTTACACTTGCTTTCCAGTGATCGCGATAGGCCACATCATCTGTCTTCCCTCCTTTCCAGTCCCTCCTGAGGGTTTCAGCACCTTCCACATCTGATTTACATATCCCCAGGGTATATGCCAGGCTGTCACTAAGACATAACGTAGCCTTTGAGCCCATTCCCTAAGGTGGGATACCTTGCTCATCCTTCATGTAATGGGAAGGGCTTGGTCCTGCCTCAACTTAATGTGCCAGGCTTTGTTGACTCCCCATGGGAGACCATACCCTTTTGGAGGAGCAGATGGGGGAGGAAGGGAACGAGCAGAGGGGAGATAGGGAGAACTGTGGTTGATATATAAAATGAATAAAAAACTTAAAATAAAAAAAAAATACCTACTATATAGCCTCTCCTGTCTCTACAAGATCATGCCTTACTTATGGGGTCAGCAAAGACACTGAAGTCCCATACCAGGCCTGCAGTCTGCAGTCTCAACACCCCATGAACCTAATCACCCAAAGATCTGGGCATCCTACACTTCTCTGATGCTCAATCTCTTCACTAATTCCTTGTACTGTCATCTTCCAGTCCCTGATAGTTAGGGAAACTTGGGCCAGCGTAAGTCAAGAGTGCCCACGGGCTTGTATGAGCCAATCTATCAGGAACTACTTCCTTTGTATTACCTCAGGCTATGTAGCCTTTGTCTCAAGGAGGGAGAGCAATTTTATTTCTCAGAATCTAAGCTTCAGCACACTCAGATTGATGCCATCTGCTCCATGTCCCACAGCCTCACGAGCCAGGCTGTGAGAGGCTTCTTCATTTCTTACCTAAGTCATTCCCAGTTGAAGCAGTTTGGAGGAGAGTACTCCCTAATTATCAGGTACTTACGCTAGGCCATTATTAAGGCCTCCACTTTCATGCTGAATTATGGGTCACCCCTACCTCGCTTCTTTGCACTAAAAATTAAACCAGAGGAGTACCTTTGCTCACGTCTCCCTTAGTCTCCCCTTGCTCTCTGATTTTCCCCACAGGCTCCCAGGTTTTAATGCTAGGAAGGGCTCTCTCTAGCACAGATTTAATTTGTACCCTGTTCATTATGTCCCACTGCCAGCTGAAGCAGCAAGCCAACACCTCCATCTCATCACCTTTCCCCACCGTTCCTGAGTCTGAAGCAAAGGTGGAGGGCAGCATCAAGTGTTCTTTTTCCACTGTAATTCCTCACGTATGCAGTTCTTTCTGGGCAGACAGTGCCGCTTCAACTGCAAGGACCAAAAAGCTGCTGCTTTAGCCAGCCTGTAATCCAGTTTCAAATATGCTTTTTTTTTTTCAGACACTGCAATATAGTCTCTAGTTCATTCTCCATTGTCAGGGCATCCCCATCACTATAGCCTGCTTGTACAGTGAACTCTATCAAAAAGGTTTGCACTCATATCACACAGAGCAATGGTTCTCAACCTGTGAGTCCCAACCCTGTTGGGGGTGTGTGTGTGTCAAACGACCCTCTCACAGGGCTCACATACCAGATATCCTGCATATCAGATATTTACATTACAATTCATAACGGTAGCAACATTATAATTATTAAATAGCAACAAAATAACTATGGCTGTGGGTCACCACAACAGAAGGAGCTGTATTAAAGGGTCGCAGCATTGGGGAGGCTGAGAACCACTACCACAGAGGAAGCCAGCCACTCTAGGACTGCTTTCAAGCATGCTTCTACATTCAGCTTGGCCTCAGGTACCCATCTTATCACCAGATCGATAGGGCACTAACAACCAAAGAAAAGATTCCGACTAATGGTGAGCTAACGAGTTTGTTTACTGGAATTACCGCCAGAAGCACAGGCGATGGTCGGGCAGTCACCTGACTTAAAAGCCCCACCGTGGCCCAAGCAAATGCTACAGGACTGCATTGCTACCCCACCTCCTGCACATCCTAGCACACACCCTCTTGTTCAGGACTGCAAGCAGCTGTGGTAGGGCTGGGAAGGGCAAAAGGGGAGTGGCTGGAACTTCCACTAGGAGGCTACAGATACCCTCCTCCCTTTCCAGTGGAGACAATTATCCAGATCGCCTAAGGATAATCACAACTGCTCTGATGTCAAGATAGCAGAACAGCCTGCAGAACAGACTTCCACAACTCCCCTGCCACGGTAGGTCAAAGATCTGGTCATCTATTTAGGAAACAAATGGGAAGGACCAAAAGATCTGACCCATGCAAACCAGTACCCGCCAAGAAGCGATAACACGGGGTGCACAGGTGACAGTGACAGCAACAGAAAGCAGTTAGGATTATCCTGCAATTGCGTTGGCTGGCTATGAGGACTCGGACCTGGACAGCCATCTTAGGGCTGGAGCTTGGATGTAGGGCGACAAGGGGCAGTGGGCATGAAAACGGAACTCCCAAGTTTGTGATTTAGCTGGTGCAACTGGCTGGCTTTTGGAATCTCGACTTCATTTGGACAACTAACGAGGTCTGCATGTGAACCACCTAGTTGAACAATATGATCACAAATTTTAAGAAAACAAAATTAGTCTGAGTAAAGAGATTGGCTGTATAAAAACCTCCTGGAAATGGAAATAGTTAAGTCCAGGAAGACTTGGCAGAATTAGGGTGACAGATGGAGAAAACAGAAGCATAGCATCAGGAGCGGCCTACTAGTAGCTTTTTAGGTTGCTGCTGTTTTGTTTTGTTCTTGCGACACACCCTTTGTAGCCCATACCAATGGTCTTGAACTCCTGTCAATCCTCCAGCCTCGGCCTCCCGCACGCTAGAATGGTTTAGCTCTCTTCTAAACAGTTCCTCGTTTGGACTGAGATCCCACGTACGTCTGCCTGGCCACCACCCGGGCGAGACTGTCACAATCCTGGGACTCACGGTCACTGCAGAGACTCAGCCTCCCCTTCCCCCACCGCCACTCGGACCGGGCCGCGGGCTGAGACACCTCAGGCACTGCAAAGCACCCAAGCCCTGAATGCAGGACTCGCGCCAGCGAATCTGATCTCACCGAGGCTGAGATCCAGCGGACACCAAGGCTGCAGATCTCTCCCGAGGTCCTGGAGCGCCATCGTGACCATGGAAGTACCGGCTCGCATCTGCTCCCGCGCGCGCTCCGAGACGTTTCTGCGGACCAGTCACAGCGTTCCGGATTTACAATCGACCAATCGCCGCGCCGGGTCGAGTTCGTAACAGAAGCCAATGGTCTGGGCCGTCTACGGCGTGCGCATAAATGGGTGGGGCGAGGACTGGAAGCCAAACACGGCTCGTGGAGACTTTCCCTTAGCGTTCCAGTGCAAGTTGGCAGTCAGAACACCACTAGCGTTTTTTGTTACCGTCTTGTCCTTCTTACACGGCAGGAAACCTAGAGGCCTGTGGAGATAGGGCACTTCCTGTAATAGCAGTCACCTTTGCCCCTGCCGAGTGACACTTGGCGTATGTGTCAATCGTACCTCACCCGTCAGACAGCACGCAAACGTTGTTCATATTCAAATGTGAAGAGTATCCCGGCGTTTATCGGGCTAAGAAATGAAGAAAATGCAACCAAAGGTATTACAAGGACGCACCTGCAGTGCTAGGACTTTACGGAAAATCTGGGCCCGAACTGCTACTGGAAAGAAGCCAGGGCCGCCATCTTCATTAAGGGAGAGACCAGCCGCCCTTTGGCACTGCACATGCGCAGATGAGCGCACCTCCTGGTGGCCTGGGAGGCGGGGAATTAGGAGGGTGAGGAGGAGACGTGCGCCTGCGCGTGGCATCTCCTTCGCATCCGGGCCGGAGTTCTCCTGCCCCCTCCCCCGCCCGGCGCCGCCGTAGCACTTCGGTGCGTTGCACCGCAGGGGTCTAGGCAGTTCGGTGCGCGGCTGAGCGCTGGACCCCACCCGGTGGGCGACGGAACGCGTGCTTGCGCCTGTGCTCCTGTGTTCGTGGGCCCTCGCCGCTGCACCGTCGGGAATTGGGGAGGTACGGTGCGTGGCCTCTGGGTGCATCGTTGCTTCGGGCGCCGCAGCCCGCAGCCGCCTGCCTTCCTCGGCCCTGCCCCTCCCCAGGGGCGCAGGCCGTCGGTGACCGCCCACCGCCCCTCTCAACCGTGCAGGGGGCTGCGGTGCGGCGTCCAGCGCGTTCCCGCAGCCGGCCCTTCCCCGCAGGCAGCCCGCACCTTGGAGGGAGGCACCGGCGCGGTCAGGCGGGGAAATGAGCTTCTTCGGCTTCGGGCAGAGCGTGGAGGTGGAAATCTTGCTGAATGATGCGGAGAGTAGGAAGAGAGCAGAGCACAAGACAGAAGACGGGAAGAAGGAGAAATATTTCCTCTTCTACGATGGGGAGACCGTCTCGGGGAAGGTGAGCTTATCTCTGAAGAACCCCAACAAGCGACTAGAGCACCAGGGCATCAAGATCGAGTTCATTGGGCAGATTGGTGAGTCGTTTCCCTGGGATCTCCCCAAGCCCGCGACGTCAGTCCGCGTCTGGAGTCAGTCGGGTGTGGGACGGGCGGGGAGCAGAGGTTTTTCAGGGCCCAACTCCAGCGAGGCCTATGACAGGCTCTTGTCAACTGCAGTCTGAAGCCTGGGGTTCACCCACGAGTCCCGCCCGTGGGCGACTCCCCCATGCATTCATTACCTTCTTCCACGCCAAAAGTGACAGCGTGCTGCTGGGGAGGTGGGGTCAGCCAGCCTAGGAATGGTAGGGAGGGAGCCCCCTGCTGTACGGTTGGGTGCTCACCTGGTACCTGGTTACCCCCATTGTGTCCGCAGTATCCTCCCAGCTTTCCTTCTTGCGCCCGGAATTTCATAGTGAGGTGCTTAGGCGGGATCCTGCAGGTGGGTTTGACAGCTACAGCTGTCAGATCCGATCCAAAATTAAGCGGCGACCCCACCCATCCACATATGTGTATGTATATGTAGTATATATGTTCTTATATAGATATGGTGTGGTAGACAGGGTGCATAAAGGCTGTTTGTCTCACCCCCACTTTGAACTACCTTTCATGTGTATGTTTTGAATACCTTCAGCCCGCCTCATTCTGAATGCATGTGTTTCTCAGACTTCATCAGAATGCTTGCTTTCAGTTGTCTGATTTTTCTCCTTAAAGTGAAAGAAGTGATGTTTGCAAAGACTACCGTTAAATGATCAAAACTTTGCAGTGCTCAATAATCATCTTCAAACTATGGTTGATAATTTTACTAGAATTAGACAAGGGAAAGTAGTAACAAAAATTCTGGGGAGTCAGCTGAGTATGGTGGTACATGCCTTTAATAGCAGAACTTGGGAGGCAGAGACAGGTAGATCTCTGTGAGTTGACAGCAGTCTGGCCAACAGAGTGATTCCAGGCCAGCTACTGTTAGGTAGTGAGTGAAACCCTGTCTCAAATTAAAACAAAACCCCACAAAGATTTGGGAGGCTGCCCATCATCGTGACTGGGTTGTCACCAGTTCTAAGTATTAGGAGCCTTTCGTGTTAGCAAGTTGCTTGGGTATTTCTAAAATAAAATATTTGTGTTATGAGGACATGAGTAGCTTATGTCCTGTAGATGGTGACCACCTGTCCGAAAAATCCCTACTCTGTTCTCCATACTGCACATATGGACACCCATTTCAGAGACTTCCTTGGGAAAGCGTGTTAGATTCACATGCTAAGAGTTTAGCCTAGCATCTGTTCTCCCTTTTACAGAGTCAGGGAGGCCTGGGAAAAGGAGTCCTGGTGGCCAGATTTTGTAACCCATTGTTTGGTCTTAAGCATCTGGTATTTAAAATCCCCCTAAAGACTGACTGATCATAAAGGACCCTGTTGGGTTGTTTTAAAGCCAGGATGTGAAAGATCTATTTGTTGTGCCAGAAAAAAAGACTGGAGCGTGAATTTTACACGCATTGCCTTCCTGCTTTTGGCTGGGATGGGAGGACAGGTGCACTGTTGATTGACATCTGGAGCCTGATCATTGTTGTTGCAGGCTCTTATCTATATCTTCAGCCTTTCCTGTACTAGAAACCAGTAGCATTCCCTACTTACCACTCATAAAGCCGTGAGGTATTGCTCTTGTTCCCATGCTGGATAAAATCACCTCTAGTAAAGAATCACAGGTTGGATTAGATAAACCCAAAGCATTTTATGTTAAACATAACATATGAAATAGTCAATACTTGCCTACTGAGAATTGGTATTTTAATTAGGAGTTTTAAAGTTACTACATTAGCTCTCTAATACCAGTATAAACAACAAGTATACTTTAATCTTTGTCTATACCATCACGCCCTGATTGTGAATAACTTAGCATGTCCCCTACTTCACATAGTATGAAATGAGCCCTTCCAGAAGGAATGCATGGTGTCAAGAGCTCATTCTCTTTCATTTAAATGCAAGGTAACCAAGGAAGCTGTTTGTTGTAATTGCCCAACCTGTTCTCTTGCCTAACTCCTTTCTTTCCAAGACTGTAACCTTACTGAATTTTCTTAAAACCTTTTATTGCTTCTTGGGATAATTTTCCCTAGGCCCTTGGCACTCTGACCTGATCAGGCCTCAGCTTTGTCAGCTGTAAATTACAGTATAATAAAATCACCTGGTTATTATGATGTGTTATTGGGGGACCGTGTCTCATGTCTCAGAGTGTTTCTTTATAAAGATAAGAGCAGCCAATGCAGCGATAGTTTCATTTTACAAACTGAGTTACAGCCTCTGATTCAGTCTCCCCTAGACCTTGTATAGTCTTCTCGGTTAGATTGCCGTAAGGACTTTTACAGAGTATATGTTTCAGTTCTTTGCCTTAAAGCTTTTCTGTGTGCCACGTGGGCTTTCACACAGGTGGTGTCTAAAGGGTATAGTTCATGTTCATTCCCATTCATTATCCATGTGTACATGAGAGATGGTAGTAGGTTAAAGCAGAATGATAAGCAGTATGTTCATTGTTTGGACTTGAGGTCTATTTCTTGATCAAGGAGAAGACATCAGAGAAACCTTTCTAACCAGACATGATGGCATATACTTATAATCCCAGGACTCCAAAGGCTAAACCAGGAAGATCTCAGAGTTCAAGGCCATCTGGTTACATAGCAAGACCCTGTCTCAAAGCAATAAAGGAACAGCCTTTCTAAATATGTTTGGTATAAAAGTTTCTCTTCCCATGCCCCCCCCCACCACTCTCTGTTTCTAAAATTAGTTGATATTAAAGATACACCAGCTTATTCAGAGGCGCAACATACTTTCCGTAGGCTTCCTATTTCTTTATTATCTTTGCGACGTGCCGAAAGATTCAAGGCATGGCATATTGTGTCATACATCTAAGACAGTTATTATGAGTGACTTCAGGGCAGCAGAGCGAGGAGAGTGGGTAACTTTGTTGAAGTTGTGGTTCTGTGGTTTTCTCCTTCATTGCATTCTTTGACTATGTATGAAGTAGGCGGAATGCCTGTCAGATCATAAGGTCAGGCTATATGGGTAATCGTAGCCACAGCCAAGAGAGCGCCTTAGCATCTCTGAGTTCTGTCCTTCTTCCTGACGAAGCAGGTTGCTTGTGTGTTGGGGTCTTGGAGGAGTTGCAGCTATATTGTCCCTGTTGCACTCTATAACCGATTCTGGCAATCTCTTCTATACCCTTCTTATCATCTTCTGCAAGGGTGAATAGGCAATTCTCATACTGCTGATCCCTTCAAAGTTTGTTTTTGTTTTTACCAACTCCCAGAAGTCTGTTTATTTTCTTCCTGGATTTTGTCTCAGCCTGCCTTTCCAGATCCCATCTCTCGTTACCTCCGTCCTCACTGATGATAGCTCCTTCAGATAGGCTCTTCTCGTCAGTCATGCTGCTGCACACCTGTCAGTCTGGCACTTGGAAGACAAAAGCAGGGAGAGCACGAGTTCCAGGCCATCCTGGGCTACATAGTGAGACCTTACCTTAGAAAATGAAGTAAGTGGGGACTGGAGAGGTAGCTCAGTGGTTAAGAGGACTGACTGCTTTTCCAGAGGTCTTGAGTTCAATTCGCAGTATCCGCATGTCAGCTCACAACCATCTTCTCCTTATATTCTAACTTTTTTTTTTTTCTGGAAAGTATGTCCTACCAAAATTGTACTTTTCCTTCAAAGGCCTACCTAATCACTTCCTCTACTAAAAGCTACAGGAATACCTGTTTTTAAGTAGGTTGTGACTTTGTTGTTTTATTTTGTTATTTCAGTTGTCTGACATCTTGCCCCAGATGCCAGAGACTGTCTTAAGTCCATCATTAGTCCAGTGATTAATCTCTAGTCTCAATGGCTACCTCATAAAGTGCTCAGTAAATGTTTGCTAACTGGATAATACTGGTTCAGATCTAAGGACTTACAGAAACCATTTTCTGGAATTTTTTTTCATCCTCTGTAGTAGCCAGAAACAAACATAGGGCCACACCTCTGCCAGGCAAGTGTCTCACAATCTGAGCTACATCCCTGACACCTGGAAGGTCTAGATCAAGCAGCTGGGTCTCCTGCACATGCTCAAGAGCTAGCTAGCTAGGTGTTCCTCTCAGAGAACTTAAGTGGCATCTGACCATCATGCATCTAGTGGATCAGCATCTTCCTGAGGGATCTAGGCTGTGAAAACAGTAAGTCTGATGCCAGCTCACTTGGTTTTGCTTTTTTTTTTTTTCATCATATTCCTATACATTGAAATGACCTCTCTCTGTTTAAGAAAAGAAGAGTTTGCCAGACCTGTGGCTCCCTGAATCCTATAGCAACTGCTCTGATGTTACAGTTTGACGATTGTTGCAAGAGAGTAATAAGTTCTTAGTTCTTCAATTAGTGCCATATGTTTTTGTTATCCTCAAGTTTCTCAGCTGCTTTGTTAGCCTCCCGATACCTAGCATGATTCTTCTCATGGCATGGTCTCTGCTGGAACGATGCCAATAAATGTGTGACTGGGGAAGTCTCTTTCCAGGTTAGACCGGTGGGATTAGCAAGATGCAGTAGTATACAAAGAGCACCGAGGGCACTGCTGCGTAGTTAGAGAAGAAAAGACCGTTTTTCCTGCTGAAATCCTTTGGGAAATACTGGTAGAGGATGTTAGCCAGACTTGGGAACCTTGCAGGCTAATGGGGTTAAATGAGCCAAATATAATCAGAAGGTCAAACTTGTAGAGATGGGCAGACAGAAATATCCTTATACCCCAGAGCCAAATACATACTTTTTATAAAGTTTTTAATGAGCTCATCAGTACCAATAAGCCTGTACTTTTAGAAACTCCAGAGACTTTTTTTTTTTTAACTCATTTACTCTTGAAATACCAAGTGAAAAAGCAGACTTACCAAGTTTTCAGCAGGGCTTAGATTTGCACAGAGCAGAGCTGCATATGAGTAACCTTGAAGTGTAATTGTTCCTATGGGTCTGCCAGGGGCAGAAGCTATAGCAAGCAAGGATCGTCATCTCCTGGTCAGCAAAAGGGCTAGGAAATTCAGATGAGAGGAGGCTCTTGTTTTGTATCTCTCCCCAGTCCAACGTGAAGCCTAGACTCCATGTCGTGCTGGTCCAGCAGCAGATCCCAGGGTGACTCAAAGGCTTAGCCTATGATGTAAAGTTGGCTCAATTTCCCTCTACATTGGCGACCTCCCTTTTTGGCCGTTGGTGGCAGATATTGCCACGAAAACATCCTGAGTGCAAAAATTAGTTCCTCCTTTTGATCAAAGAAGGAAACTAATGACAGAAGTCGCTTGGAAAAAAAGAGTGGGGTGAGGGGTTCAGTTTCTACTTCTAGCCTGAAGGGCTATTGTGTTTGGTTGGGATGGAAGAGGGGCTGTTTTTATAGTCTCTGTAGGACCTGGGCCTCTTGTTAGAACACTTGGATTTTCTGCCTCAATTTATTCAAGATGAAACCAACCTTTCTGGCAAATAACAGTGTAAAACAACTATTTCTGCCCCTTTGGCCACAGTGTTTGCAGAAGGGTTCCAAGTTGCTTATAAAATTTTAAATCAGAAAGACCATTCCAAGCTAGATGTGGTAGCTGGTGTACCTATAATCCTAGCACTAGGGAGGATGAATCAGGAGAATGACCATGAATTTAAGGCCAGCCTGTGATTTGTAGCAAGACCCATCTTAACAAAATAAAACAACAGAGGACCATCCTAGCCCTCCTCGGACCACTCTGTTCTTTCATGGCATTTCATGTAGGCACTGATACTGTGTCACGGGAAGAAAAGCCCTGGGGAGAATGTGATGCCCTGCGGAAAAGGACTTGTTCTCAGGTCCCCTGCTGGGCCAGGCAGTGCCCTTCTGCAGCGTTGCTAGGATCCTCAAATCCTGGCAGCTGGAGCCCACTCTGAACCCTCTCTGTTTTGTTTATTTCTCATGTTGGGCTGCGTGATCATTGCTTTTGTGTTTTTTTCCGTTCTCTCTTTCCGCTTTCCTCTTGATGCTACAATTTTCCATTGAAAGTTCACGGATATTGGGGCCTTGTGCTTCTTATTTGAATTCATTGGCGCTGGAGCCAAAATCCAGTGCTTGGGAACTGAGGTATAACGTTCCTAAGTTAGGGGTTCAGTTCTCACATGAGCCAGCACCATCTACCGGGTTAGGTCACAAGATTGAGTGGAGGATTCCCTATTGGTGAGGAGGGCAGCTCAGCCCTGCGCTGCATGTTCTGCGTGTTCTTGCTTTCCTGGGGGTGTCGTTACGGAGTGGTATCTCTCTCCCACATCATCTGGAACTGCCATCTCCCTTCCGTGGATTTGTAGACTATCACTCACTACCCATCAGGCCACCACTGCTAAGATCGCTTAGTATTGGGAAGAGGACGTAGATTATTTATAATAAAAGACTTAATGCCTTTATTATCTTTCTTATCTAGTACTCAAAGCAGAGGCCAGTGGATCTCTGTGACTTCAAGGCCTGCCTGGTCTCCATAGCAAGTTCCAGGACAGCCAGGGCTACATTGTCTCAAAAACCAAACCAAAATAAACAAAAAAATTGATCAAACTGTACCGAGGTAGGAAATAAGCCACATTTATTAGCCACCGGATACACTGTAAATTTGTATGAAAATAGCATTACTGGAATGGAATTCTCTGTACTATATCACTTTCATGAATTGGATAAATGCTTTTGGAGTTTTGTTTGCTCGTCTGTTTAGTTTTGGTTTGTTTCTTCTTCTTTTTTCTTTCTTTTCCTTTTAATGCTGGTGTCAAACCCAGGGCCATCTCATGCATGCTAGATAAGTACTCAACCACTGTTAATAACCCCAGCTCAAGTCGGGTATATCTTGCAGCAGCCTGCTGTGCTTCCAGATGTCCCAGAGCTAAGGAAAAGCTGTCCATGGGATGAGCAGGGGAAGCCAGTAGAGTGTTGGGGAGAAATTTGCATTCAGGTGAATATTAATAGCTGAGATTGTTTCTCTTTGTCTGGAGATGGTTTTATCCCCTGGGCCAGGACTGAAGATTGCATTGGCACTGGAGAGGCAGGATTTCTGGTTTCTTGTTCTCAATAAAGTTTTGGTCCCGTTCCAGGCTTCAGATGTTACGCTGCTGGAGCAGGAGCACGTATACTCACTGCTCGGAGTGATCGAGTCACTCCAGAGAGACACATGATGCTCTAGAGATGCTGAGAACCAGGACCAGGCCAAAGGGGCAGGAGACTCATCTCTCAAACAGCTGTTCCATATTCCCAGTTTAGCTCCCTCCCATGGGTTGCAGCCTAGCACAGTGCTTGAAGTCAAGAATATTTGAGAGAAGCCAGGTGGTGGCGCACGCCTTTAATCCCAGCACTTGGGAGGCAGAAGCAGGTGGATCTCTGTGAGTTCAAGGCCAGCCTGGTCTACAAGAGCTAGTTCCAGGGCAGGCTCCAAAGCTACAGAGAAAAACAACAACAACAAAAAAGAATATTTGAGAGATGAGGCTTGAGCTAGCATTTGGTCATCATCACAGGCAGAGCTAAGAGCTGACATCTTGGGGCCAGGAAGCTAGAGCTATGGGTCTCATCTTAAAGCTCCTTCAGTCCAAAGGAGTAAAGAAGACCATGGATATCTCAAAACTTAATCCTTAAATTGCAAAATACAAAGTCATGAAATAATCATGGGTCTGGTGATAACATGAGCTTATCATGGTGAAACGCCAGGTGGATATGTGTGCATATCTACAGTCCCAGGATTTGGGAGACAGAAGGATTGCCATGAGTTTGAGGCTAGCCTGTGCTACCTAATGAATTCTGGATCAGGCTGAACTATAGAACAAGAGGCCTGACCTATCCATCTTGCAGGATTATCAAAGGAAGATATAATAAAGTAGCCATAAATTTCCTGCAAAAGTCAAGAATATTGGAAAGGTGCTCTCTCTCTCTCTCTTTTTATATCGAGTCTCTGAAAACTGCTCACCGAATCTATTCTAACCACCTCAGAATTCCCTTACCCTTTATAGGCGCATAGACCGTGGATTGCTAACAGAAGCAATGGCCTGGAGACCACATTGGCTTTTATTTGCTTTTTTTAAGGTTTCTTTATTTTATGTATACGAGTGTTTTGCCTATGTGTGTGTCTGTGTCTGTGTGTGTGTGTGGGTGTGTACCATGTGCATGCCTGGTGCCCATGGAGGTCAGAAGAAGGCACTGGATCCCCTGGAACTGGAGTTACATGTGGTTGTATGCTACCGTGTAGGTGTTGAGAATTGAATCCAACTCCTCTGCAAGAGCAACAAAGTGCTCTTAACTGCTCAGTTATCTCTCCATCACACTGGCCTTGTGTGTGTGTGTGTGTGTGTGTGTGTGTGTGTGTGTGTGTATCATAAATTCTTACTGTGTGACTTGGAAGAGTCAGCTAGGCATGGTGGTGCACACCTATTTTTCTAGCTATTTGAGACTGTGGTAGAAGAATTATTTATGCCCAAGAACTAGTGGCCAATCTAGGTAACATAGTAAGACTCTGTCTCAAACAAACAAACCAGAAAGGGTATGTCTTTGGAAAGGCATGTGTCTGGGGAAATCAGTGAAGAGGCTGGGGTCAGGGAAGGAGAAGAAGCCCTAAAACAAGGCCAAAAGTCTCAAAAGAGACTGATCCCTCCGACCTGTGATGCCCTCACTAGGTTCAGTGCAGTCAAGTTGGCTAGAATAAGCTTTGTTCTCTTTCCAGAACTCTACTATGACCGTGGGAACCACCATGAGTTTGTGTCCCTGGTGAAGGACTTGGCTCGGCCGGGAGAGATCACCCAATCACAAGCCTTCGACTTTGAGTTTACTCACGTGGAAAAGCCGTATGAGTCCTACACAGGGCAGAACGTGAAGCTACGGTAAGTGGTCTCTGATGTTTTTGTTGTAGTCCTGAACCTGCCCCACCAGGACAGGGCCTGGGGCTGCGTGGCTGCTAAGAAGGAAGAGGACTGCACGCACCAGGGTGCTAGTAAATGTCACCATTGCACATCCCGGAAGAAAGCCTTCTGATTGGACGGCCATGGCCATCCGTGACCTGAATGCTGTCACCACATTGGCAGCTTCACTGCTGTCACAGAGTCCCCTCCCGACCAGGGGCCTCAAAGAGTGCAGAAAAATGATTAGGAAGCAAAGGGATTTTAATATGGATTGCCCTTGTTTCTTAGGTAATTCATCTAATTGTAAGTTTATATAATTTCAACGATAACCATTTCAGTAATTGGCTTTCATATCGGAGGTGGCCCCAGATAGACACCTCAGCTTGGCTTCTAGAGGTGCTGACCCCTTCCCCATTCAGCTCTGCCATACAACATCACATCATTTTGGACTCTGTAACTTAAAGCTTTGTCTTTCGAAAATGGATACTAGTTTAGGGTTCTAATTCTAGGTCTCTCCTCTCTATCTTTTGGAAGAGATAAGAAAATGATGCAGGAGCGGAACACAGTCTTTAAAAACTGGACACAAGCATTTGGCTTCAGGCACAGTATTGCCTAGCATATACAGGGGTCTTGGACCCATCCCAGGGATCACAAACAAAGAGATGAATGGCACAGACATGCCTGAGGATATTCTTACTACTACAGTCTGGGGAAACTCTGAGGAAGGAGACTGATCCTGTGTCTCTGAGGTTAAAAAAAAAAAAAAAATCACAGCAGCTCTAGACTCTTAGATGCAAACCTTAGATTATGGGACATCACTGGGATAAAGCAGAATGTCCTGTCACTCCAGAGGATCAGATGATCCCAAGTCTTGATCCCGTCTCACAGGATCTGCTTGTTTCTATCCCCTACAGGCTGGGGCTTAGGGTGGTGAGGATTACAGCTAGAACATCTCCCTCTCTTTCTCCTGGTTCCCTCCCTTCATCAGAACACTTGTTCATAGACTCTTGAAATATTTGCATCTAAATCCCTGCTAAAGACAGTGATTTGTCTTATCACTCCGGAGAAAACACCAGTGAGGATTATCTAGCAATCACTTAGCTTGGCTATGGGAATTGTTAAAAAAAATAATTATTGATACAGGTCTTTTTATATAGCCTAGACTGACCTTAAACTCTCAATCCTTCTGCCTCAACCTCCTGAGTGATGGGATTACACGTGTGTGCCACCATGCTTGGTAATTCCCACCCCATAGTCCAGTGGATTTGCCTTAGTGGTTTTTGTTTGGTTGGTTTTTGGTTTTTCAAAACAGGATTTCTCTGTAGCTTTTGCTTAGTGTTTTTATGTCAAAAAGAAAGGTATTGAAAACAGCAGGGTGGCTCCTCAAAGATAAATGAATAGAGGGCTGAACACATAACTCTGTGTAAAGCAGCAAGGCACATACTTGAAGACTTTGCAAGGTACTGTGCTCAGTCCCCAGCAACACACATACAATTAAACAGAGTCACTATGTGATCCAACAATTCCACTTCAGTTGTAGATCCGGAATATTTGGACACAGAATCTGGAACAGATAATCTAACACCTGTGACCACAGCAGTATTCACACGATTATAAAAAGAGAAAGCAGGCAGTCACAGTGGCACATGCCTTTAATCCTACCATGAGAGGAAACCACAGGTGATCTCTGTGAGTTCTGGGCTGGCCAAGACTAATAGTGAGGACCCCCTCCCCCCCATACAGTCAGTCAGGCATGGTGATGCTTGCATTTGAAAAACTGCAAAACAAAGGCAGATGAATCTTTGTGTTTGAGACCAGCCTGGTATACTTAGCAAGTTGTAGGTCACCCAGAGTTACATAGTGAAACCCTGTCTCAAAAAACCCAACAACAGCAAAACTCTGCAGTAGCAGTGACATACGAGCGTGTCGGAAGTTTTCAGTCCTCTCTCTTTCCCCCCAGTTGTGAAGGGAAAGGTGATTTTTCTTTTTCGGGGTAGGGTGGGTTGCTAGTGAAGGAAGTCTGTGAAGGGCAGGGACGTATTTAGGCCCTAAATAAAAACAGTAAAAAGCAGAAAAGAATTATAAACCTTGACTTGAAAATCTTCATTAGAATAAAACCATTCTTCCACAGATAGTGCAATGGATTTAAGACCTGAGCAATTAGAAAGGGGTTAGTTAGGGACAAATGTCTTGTGCGGCTGTGATGGAAGTTACTGAGGGAAATATAAGGACTGCTTAGAAGCGGTCGGTGCCACAGAGCTGGTCGCCTGTAGCCTGTAGCTGATGTGGCCAGCATGTCTGTTAATTTTCTGGAATGTTTAACGGGTACTTGGGTTATCAGAGGATTACTCAGAAGAAATCATAGCTAAGGGTACTTTTCTTCTCTTGTGGGTGTTAGCGTTGTTTTACACCAGGAAACTGGGATTTTGCTGGACCGTGCCAAGTGGCTGTTAGACCCTTAGGGTCCACTTATGTATCTTCTTCCAGACCTGTGCCCTGCCATGCAGCTGCCGCCGCCAGTTAAGCTACTCATTTCGGTGCTGCTTTGCTGTATTATTACATGTTGGTTTGTTCTTGGGGTCTCTTTGTTCTCATAAAGCTGGATTGTAGTTTCTGAATTACCCTTTGCCAGTCTTGATTTTTCTGTTTGTTTGTTCATCTCCCTCCAGATTGTGAGTCCCTCTTGAGAGTGTATTGTCCTTATCCTCTGCCTAGCACAGGGTTGGCTAAGAAAGGCTGCGGAAATGAAGACTTGGTTTGATTTCTCCATTTCCTATTCCTCACTTTTATTTATCAGATACTAATTAGTGGACAGGCATATAAATATAAGTGTATAGGCCAGATATCTATGCTCAAATAGCCAGGAGGTAGGCAAGGAAACAAACCTTCCTCACAGATGGTAGATAGTGGTAGGGCCATTGGCGTAGAAGGCAGAGAAATCACTTCTGCTAAGACAAGGTTCTTAATTCATTGTCATGAGCTCCCAAGAGGGTTTTAAAGGAAGGCTCTGCTCTTCCTCAGTGGTAACTGCAGAAGTCTGTGTATAGGTGCCTGGGTATACTTTTTCTGAGAAAAGGACCCATAAATTCTCAAAGGGATAGTAAGCCTCGGAGGGTTAAACATTACTGTAGGGTTCTCCCAGGGCTGTGTAGCATCTAGAGACTGGAAGTATTCACTTAGGATGGCTCCGTCTCTTAACAGCTATTTCCTCCGAGCAACCATCAGCCGCCGCCTCAATGATGTTGTCAAAGAGATGGACATTGTAGTTCACACCCTTAGCACGTACCCCGAGCTGAACTCATCCATCAAGATGGAAGTTGGGATCGAGGACTGCCTGCACATTGAATTTGAGTATAATAAATCCAAGTGAGTATCCTGAGCCCCAAGCTCATGTGGTAATCATTTATGGAGGTAAAGAGAGATCTTGTTGTGTGTACTGACTGACAGCCTCATGACTCCACAGCTTCATGGTGACAAAGTGCAGGGGGAGACTCAAAGTCAAGCTTAGCTAGCTTTTAAGTTGTTTGTTTTGGATCCTAGGTAAAGCTGCTTCCTTCCATGCGTGAGAATAATTGTAGAACACAATGCCACTATCATTTGTTTCCTCCCTGCCTTAGAAATCAAAGTGAGGAAGCCGTTTACCGGCAATGGGCTGCTTCCTCCCTGAACCAAAATGAGTTACAGGGCAAATACCTGATGCTTTGGGGTTTTTTTTTGTTTTGTTTTTGGTTTCCCAAGACAGGGTTTCTCGGTCCCGGAATTCACACTGTAGACCAGGCTGGTCTCGCTCGAACTCACAGAGATCCACCTGCCTCTGCCTCCTGAGTGCTGGGGTTAATGGCATGCACCATCACCACCCCGCACCTGATGCATTTTTCTGAAGGTCTTAAAATAACTACCTGGCTAGTGGGGAAGCTGCGTTTTCAACTGTTTACTCTGAGATCATCACAGTGTTTAATTGCTTACAAGCCACAGAACTGTCTGCAGTCTTGTATCTTTCTTTTGAATATAGTCTATTTCTGAAAGTATCTGGATCATCTACTCATGTCTTTGATTACCTTTTTTACTGTAGTCGCCTTCCCTCAGGCCCACTGCCAAGCAGAGACTAGGAATTGAGGAGAGACGATTTGCCTACAGAGGGCTTAGGAAGAGAGGCGAGGTAACTCAACTATGTAGACCGGGCTGGCCTCATACGAGTGATCCTATTTCTACTTCATAAGTGCTGAGATTACAGGCATGTGTCGCTGTGTCTGATGGGGCCAGTTTTTAACTAGGAACATACTTGATTATGAGAACCAACTTACTTATTCCTCTGCTCCCTGAATTGGAACCTAGTGATGCCCTCTTAACCAATAAAATGACCACTGTAACCTAGAACCTCCTTGGCCTGGCCCACCTGTTGCCTCCCCACCCCAGTCTTCTTACTCAGTGTGGTCCTTTCCACTAACCCCCCTCCACCCCTCTGAAGGCAGCAACCACCAGGAGTGCTACCACAGAGCCTGAAGCGGGCACTAATCATCAGCTCTTGGAATAAAAAGTGTTTTAGAGTAGGTTACATGCAGGCAGGAATAGACTCCAAGTCTTCCCCTCTGCTTGTACAACAGATTGTACCATATAGGAACATGAGATATGATTCTTATGTGGTTGTGCCCCATGTGTAAGATTTCCTATAATATAGAAAACCTTAGCATCCATGCATGGTCCGTAAGTATCCCTGAGAAAGGCTGCAGGTGACCTGCTGCATCTGCAGGTATGCAGGCTACCAACTCAATGTCTGCAGCTCTCCCAGTAGACTGTAAACAACAGTGTCAGAAACAGTGGGGAGCACTAAGTCTGGGAGCTAGCAATCGCCTGTCTGAACCTTCTCTCATCCAGAGCATGACCTAGTCTCTCTCTTCCAGCTTCTTTTTTTCCCACCTGCCATGTAAGGAGACCCAACTCTAACATCTCTGCTAGGGATCACGTGCCATGAGTGTGAGCCTAGGTTTGGAGAGTGTGCTATCTTTCTAGCACACGTGATACAGGGAGGTATATACAGAGACTACCAGCACCATTGGCTGGCCCACAGAGAGAGACTTAAAGGAAAAAAGAGACAGTGTTAGTGTAGGGTGGTGGTGGTGCACACCTTTAATCTCTGCACTTAGGAGAAAGAGGCAGGCAGATCTCTGTGAGTTGGGGCGGCCATCCTAGTCTACAGAGTGAAACCCTGTCTCGAAAAACTAAAAAAAGAAAGGGGGGGGGGAGATAAAGAAAAGAAAGAAAGAGTGAGCCATGCAACGTTGCTAAATCCCTAGTAGCTCACGGAGTATCAGCCATGCAGCCTGGGCTGTCTAGCCTGGAGCAGATGGAACTATTCACTGGGAACCGTTAAGGCCCAGTTCCCTACAGACATTGTATGGAGAATAAAGTGGAAAGGCGAGAATTAATTCCTATGTTTTTGAGACTGGCCTAATACATTAGAAAAACATCCATTAAAACATACTAAAGGTATATCCTGTGGAAATGGAACTGATAAACAAATATTAATGGTTGAAATAACATGTATCCTCCTTTGAGCAGGATGTAGAAGAGAGGAAGTCACACAGATTACACTAAAGAACATAGCAGGAAACTGTTCAAATAGCGAGGTTGAGCATAAACACCTCTCACTGACAGTATAACCCATGCTGGCACACGAAGGGACTAGCCGCCGCACCCAACGTCTGTCCCACTTCCTTTTTCTCTTCTTCAGATACCACTTGAAAGATGTCATTGTAGGGAAGATATACTTCCTGCTGGTGAGAATCAAAATCAAGCACATGGAGATAGACATCATCAAACGGGAAACGACAGGCACGGGTCCCAATGTGTACCACGAGAACGACACCATAGCGAAGTATGAGATCATGGACGGGGCTCCAGTCCGAGGTGAGCCTCCTAGCTCAGGGCCACTGCCACGATTTGCTTCCAAGCCACGTGCAGAATTTCAGAATTTGGGAGGGGTTCAAATGATGATACTATTGAAGTAATTTTTTTTTTTTTAAAGACAAGGTCTCACTGTGTAACCCAAGCTGGTCTGAAACTCATGGGAGTCCCCAGCACTGAAATAGGAAGGGGAGGACAAAGCTGAGCCTTTGGCTTCAGCCTCCTTCCCCAGCCTCAGCCACAACAGCCCCACATTGACCTTGTTTATATATTGATTATACTTAAGATTCTGTCTCAACTGGCCTGCTTGCACATGTGTGTTATCCCACACTTTGTAGGTGGAGGCAGGAGGATTAGGGTTCAAAGTTATCCAAAAAAAAAAAAAAAGTTTGGAAACCACTTTAAGATACAGTATGAATATGTAATTCCGTTTCCCTCTTGACGTTCTGGCATGTTTTCTACAGAGAGAGATCCATCATGTGTTCTAGTCATTGTCACTGCTTAGTTCTAGCTACAGTAAGATGTTTCACTCCAGGAGTTTATTCGCCTGTCATGAAAGTGAACTACTGCATCGGTGACCCACAGTACAGGCTTCAGACAACACCGGAAACCAATGGACGTGGTCCTGTACAGGGCCTAGAATGAGTGGGCTGGAAGTGTCCTGCGCAGGCCCTAGGATGAGTGGGCTGAACATGGTCCTGCACAGGGCCTAGGATGTGTGGGCTGGACGTGGTCCTGTGTAGGGCCTAGGATGAGTGGGCTGGATGTGGTCCTGCGCAGGGCCCTAGGATGAGTGGGCTGGACGTGGTCCTGCGCAGGGCCCTAGGATGAGTGGGCTGGACGTGGTCCTGCACAGGGCCTAGGATGAGTGGGCTGGATGTGGTCCTGTGCAGGGCCCTAGGATGAGTGGGCTGGACGTGGTCCTGCACAGGGCCTAGGATGAGTGGGCTGAACATGGTCCTGCACAGGGCCTAGGATGAGTGGGCTGGACGTGGTCCTGCGCAGGGCTCCTAGGATGAGTGGGCTGGACATGGTCCCGTGCAGGACCCCTAGGCCAGCCAGAACTATATAGAGACCATATTTCAAGTAAATATGGGGGGAAACCCCCACCGATAAGGCACATTGCAGAAAGCAGTGGTACCTACTAGTTCCCCTGTGCTGTTCAGTCCCTGTTTCTCACTGCCTTCTGCAGTGGGAGGGTAATAGACTTTTCAGAAGCCGCAGACTGGACTGGATCTGCAAAATCACATTTGTTTCAGGAAACTGCTGGGAGCAAGGTGTAACATCTCTAAAGGCAGAGCCTTTGCTTAGTGTCCCTTGCCTTGCCCAGCAGGCACCTGACCTGCTGCAGGCAGATTGGCGTTAGGCTGTACAACAGCGCCTCCTGTGTCCCTTGCCCTCACTTTTGCCTCACCCCTTACAGGTGAGTCCATCCCCATCAGGCTCTTCCTGGCAGGATATGAGCTCACGCCCACCATGCGGGACATAAACAAGAAGTTCTCTGTGCGCTATTACCTCAACTTGGTGCTGATAGATGAGGAGGAACGGCGCTACTTCAAGCAGCAGGTGGGTGCCTCCTCCTGGACCCTGGGTCCCTTTGGGCACAGAGCAGAGAGGCCACCATTCCCACAGAGGGCCGTCTTAACTTTTAAAGCAAAATGCTAAAAAAAAAAAAAAAAAAAAAATAGTCAAGCCTCTATCACTTGTTATTTGACCAAGAGGTAGAAACATGGAATTGCAGGAGACCCAACTGATACCCGGGGTCTGCTTTCTCAGGCCTAACTCCCACTTTCGTGGCTCCTGCCAGAGCACCAGTCTTAGGAGCCACCACTTTGGTGAGAGATGAGCCAAGGAGGTTATTCCTGGAGATCCCCTGGGACCAAGATAGGCACCCCTGAGAAAAGCATCCCTGAGCCTCTCTCAAATACCGTATTGACTTTCTTCCAACCCTGCAGGAGGTGGTGTTGTGGCGGAAGGGTGACATTGTACGGAAGAGCATGTCCCACCAGGCAGCCATTGCCTCACAGCGCTTCGAGGGCACAAGCTCCCTGGGTGAGGTGCGGACCCCTGGCCCACTGTCTGACAACAACAGCAGGCAGTAGGCCCCAGGGGCCAAGAAGCTGCCCGGCTTCCACTGCGGCACCCCCATCTACCAAACACCAGCGACTGGGGGAGGGGGAGGACTGTGTGAGGCTCCGCTGACCGTTTCTTGCAACCTTGAAAACAAATCATGTTTTTTACTTAAATTCTTTTCGCTGAAGAACCTAAGGGACTTGGGTTGGGCAGCAGTGTCCCTGGGATTCTGCAGCCTAGGTAGGGATACGGAGAGGAACCATTCTGGAATCTGGTCTCTCCCATGGGAATGAGAGCTGTCTGTCAAGGCTATCTCAGGCTGTAAAGCAGAGTTGAGAGCACACATCCTTGGCTCCAGGTTCTCTGGGCTTCCTGAGACAGAAGCTGAGCACGTCCCTGGCATTCACCCGCCAGCAGAGCTCTGGGTAGTCATGTCTTACACGCCCTTTGGCGGTTCCTGAGGTAGTGGCAGAAGTTGTTGGGCCTGTTTCATCTAAGTTGAAGAAGACTCAAGATTGGGACGCTACCTCTCTGGGCATCTGGGACGTGGTGCTCTGAAGTTTCCGGTCACCTCTGGCTCCTCACTCTGGGACCAGACACGTTTCTTCTCCATTTTCTATAGCTTATCAGGAACCACACAGGAGCAGAGCCTAAGGAAGGGTCTGAGCTGACTGTCCTCACTTGTGAGAAATCTGGGCTTAGAAAAGTTCTGAGACTGGTGTCACACATGGATGGCCAGGAGGCTGAACTAGGTCTTCTGGGGGAAACATCAGGCAAGACAACTGTCTGCCTTCCCCACATGACTCCACGTGGCAACCCAAGGGCTGGGTTGTTCTAGGGAATTATTTTAAGTTACCACAAGCCCTAAGCAGAGGGTCTGTTTCCTTTAGTTAAGATCGTTAGAAGAGGCTGAGATCCATTTGCCTCCCTGAACGTGATCTGTCGTTACTCCTTGTCCTCCACCTGATTTCTGGAATTGAGCTTGGATTCAGACAAAGTTTTATTCTTGCCTCCTCCACCCCAACCCCTCTCATCCCACTATCTACACATTAAGGGAGGAAGACTGTCACAACTTCAGAATAATTCTGCTTGCCAAATTATGTCCTTATCTTTACCAGTTCACCGACTCAAGTTTAGGACCACTGTTTGGTTTTGGTTTTTGTAATTTGAAAACACCATAGGAAAACTCTGGTGGATTTTGTTACACTAGAGAAGAGGCAGTGCTTCCTCCTACTGTGTTAGGGCCTGCAAGTAGTAAAGAGGTTGATTGTCTTATCTGCCTTTTCTGGGAATGACCAGGAATTATCTTCCATTGGCTGCCCTCCCCGCTACAGAAAGATCAAGTGGAACCGATGTTCAACAAGTACGGTATTTGCTGTGTTCTTGGTAATCTGGGAAGTAAAGGATTTGTTCCTATGTCATCTTTCAGTTACTGTAGAAAATGGGGTCTTGTCCTCAGAAGTCAGTGCAATCTTAGACTTTGACAGGGCAAGGCCAATGGGTCAAAGTTCAGATGAAAGGCGCTTGGGGTGACTGGGGGTAGCAGAGCTAAGTAAATTTTTCCCCATGACAGACCCCAAATTTAGGTGTAACATACAGTCCCCATGGGAAGAGGTTCACCTGCCCAGCTGCCCTTGGGTATCAAAGCTGGGCCCTAGCGTATGAAGGAGGCAGGTTCTGTGCTCCTGCCTTTTTCAGGGTATGAGACTAGACTCTGCTGTGCCTCCTTCTAATAGCTAATTAAAAGTATCTGTCAATTTCTCTGCCTCCCAGCTGACAACACAAATCCATTTTCCAACTTTGCTAACATCTTAAGCCTTTCTTCTGAGAGAACTAGAAGGTAGAATGTGCTGTTTCTCTCAGGAGCTGTGCACAAGCCAGGTCTTGCTTTCTTTGACTGCTCCCATTTTCTTTTCTGCCAACTGTGAAAGTGTGGGGGAGGCTCCTATCCCCATCCTGTGAGGTTCCCAAACCTGGAGTGCATAGGTACTAAACCAAGCAGTGCAACTTGTAATTAAGAAACTGCAGTGTTTACATGATTCTTAATGTGTTGTCTTTTCAATGGCTGTATTTTAAAAGAACATTTGTTTTAATGGTGTCTCTAATTAAAGGAAGCCCTGTGGCTTTGGAGGCATTGTGCCCATGATCCACCAGATTCTGTGCTCTGTTCCTTAACACCGTCTCATATCTGACACACTGGGAACGAAGCTTCATGACTTCGACACTTGCCTCCTTTTTCAGTGAATGGTAAACAATAATGAGCACCGTATTAACCACCCATTTCAGGCAAGCATGACTCAGTAAGTCTAGGTCTGGCCACTTAGCCCAAAGCATTTATATTTTCAACTTCAAGACTTAGGTTCGCTGAGTGTTCAAAGACCAAAGGACTCAGTCCTACACTGTGCTATTTGCTATATAACAACTACAGTGGTAGGGGCAGATGATAGTATAAGTGCTCGCATCTTCCATTTGGCAAAAGGAACCAGGCTTGGATGTAAGGCATCTACAGTGAAGGATTCCACCACACCCAACACAGATTTAGAAGATAAAGCTTTCAGCCTTGTCATGAAATATCTTTTATTGGTAAACACGAACAAACCACCTGTGCACGTGACCCCAGGTAGACACTGCAAGCTTTCTTCTTTTGCCTTATAGAATCTTGACTTTGTGGATCATTGGCTTGGTCATTCCATCAATAGAGTCTTCACTAACTTGGTTCTGTTTCCTCCAGGCTCAAAATAAAATCAAACTCTTCTACAAAAAAAAAAAAAAAGAAAAGAAAAGAAAAGAAAAAAAAAGGGCAGGGCGGGGTGGGAAAGGTGTTGTGTCTCCTCCTGCAGAAGAAGCTCATGAGGAGCCACAGTGCCTGGAGTGGGCAGTTGTCCACTCAGAAACTGGACTATCTCAGGGTACTGGGTCTACAGCAAAGAGCAGCTGAGCACATAGCCTTCCTCATGAGTGACACAGATGAGGACTCTGGCCCAGAGACCTTTAATACTGTCTCCATGTTTAGGTCTTACCTCGGGTCACAGGCTGAACTGACAGTCTCTGGCGAGTGAAGAGAGTCATGCTTTTTAAGGGGCCACCGGAAGCTTTGTGGGCATGGTGATGGGCTTTCAGCTCCTCCAGGGGGATGAAACGCTTCATCATTCGAACAAATTGTACATCCACCTATTGGACAGCATTGAGGGGCAGAAACATGTTTAGCCAGACTGGATCTCACCGTGTTGCCTAGTCTGTCCTTAACTTCCTCGGCTGAATCAATTCCAGCCTCAGCTGACTGAGTGGCTAAGAATACAGGCGTTTGCTTCTGTGTCCACCCAGAATTTCTGCTGTTTGCAGGAGGTGCCTGGTGTTAGTGTTCTACTCTAATATCCCAATTCAACAAAACTTCATCTAAGTGAGAAGCTGGGCTGTGCTCCTTGACCTAACAGTACCCATATTTTCCCACCTTTGTCCATTCTCCCCCTGTGAAACAGGAAGTACATTTATTACCATCGACCATTTAGGGTTGTCCTCTTTGCTGGATGGGTCATAATGGGGATTATTTTTTTCAAACTGTGTGTGGTCTGGATAAGCCTCCTTTACGATCTGAAAGCAAATCCAAAATCGCCAATCATTAACTTCCTGTTCAAGTTTTAATATGCATCTCACTTTGACTTCTTACCCTTCCTTCACATTCTGACCCATCTCCCTTGCTATAGAGACAGTTGGTACGCAGACTTCTGGAAATAAAAGATAGCCTATGCAAGCATAGTTAGAAACGAAATCCTATTTTTACAAAGTCTCACAAGCATGTTCTAAAACTAAATGCTAAAAGTTACTTGGAAACACATAGTGTTATCCTGAAACTCTAAGCAAAGAGGAGTTACCTGATAGAACCTCAGATAGTGAGAAGTAATAGCAGGGCCTGAAACAAAGTCCTTCCTATTCAGGTGATGGTCAGGGCAGTTTTCCTATTTTCTGTGACAGGAAGTGTGTGTGTTTGAGGGGGCATACTTTAGTTACTACCTATTCAAACTGTAAGGCTTTACATGAGTAAGTCCCTGGAGGAATCCCAGCTAAAATTTAGTGTGCACCTAACCTTCATAAGTCCCACGATGCCTGGCTGTTTACAGTTGCTATGGTAGAAGAAGGCTTCTTCCTCCAACTTCATGGCCCTGAGGAAGTTCCGAGCCTATGTCAGAGAAAAAGAAACAAGAATTACCCTCCTACAGCTGGAAAGAAATCAAGTCTTTTTATTAGATGTCTTTTCCTGTTTTGCGCTTCTCTCAGATTCGTAAGAAAATCTGTTCCTTTGTTCAGAGTCCTGGCCTTAGTCCAGGACACTAGCCAGAAGCAAGCCACTTGAGCAGACTGCACGCTGTCATGGTGATTATGATATTTCTGAAGGCATTTTCAGAATAGCGTTCAGAGAAAAGCAGTGTTGGTTCCGACCTTGCTGCTGAAGAACACAGTGGAGGAGGCAGACATCCATCCTAGTCTGGGTTTCAGGGTTCCTGCCCCTTGTCTCCGTACCTGATAGTTGCGAACACCATCCCAGCAAGCTGTCTGCTTGGGCTGTGCTTTGAGATCCTCAATGCCGAACTAGGCAAGAGAAAATAAAGTCATTCACTACTTAGTCACTGGTCAGTTGATAAGCTCTATGGAAACAAAGTTCTCTCTTTAATCCTGAAAAGTGCTATCTACGGGCTATAAAGAAGCTATGCGAATTACCAGGAATTAGTTCCAGGGTGCCACTGACGTTGAATGAATATAAATTAAGCCTTGGGTTTTACATTGTGATCTTTGCTAATTAAGACGATTAGCTGAGAGGGTAATCAGGGTACTAAATCAGTCTGCTGTGTTTCATTTATTAAAGTATCATGATCCTCTAATATTTCTGCTTTCCTCAGGCTAGTATTAAAATCGGCTTATATTCTTTCCCTGATTAGATGGCAACACTTGTCAGGGAGACTTCCAGGAGCACGGCAAGTAGTAAGAGAAAAATACATCTAGTGCCAGGTGTGGTGGCACACACCTGTAATCCCAGCACTCCTAAAACTGGGGCAAGGAGGATCTTAGATTCAAGGGCAACTTGGACCTCAAAAGTTAGGAGGCCAGCCTGGACTACATAGTAAGATCATCTTAAAACACATAACACAATTAAACTCAAGACTGGCACTGGCAAGCTAAACCGTATGTCTGATTTTATAAATAAAGTTTCACCTGAACATAACCACATCTTTTGTGTATTGTCTTTGAGCGCTTTCTTTGTTAACGAGACAGAGCAGCAACACGGGCCTCTCTGGCTCATTTTCCGAAAAAGTCTGCCAACCCTTGCTTAGATGGAAACCCACAAAGCAGATACAGGTTGGGCATGCTTGATGTTAACATTGAAATCAAAAATACTCTGGAATGTTCTAACATTTAGAAACGTTTCTATTTTATTAAATAGCAATTTGGCCTTTTATGAGAGGTAGGTTAGGGATATTCAAATTATAAAATCTAGAACACTCCTGGTCCCAGGAGTTTTGGATAAGAGCTATCTGACCTTAAGCTAATGATAATAAATGCTACAAATTCTACTTTTACCTCCCTGTAGACTTCAGAGAGGACAAGCTGACGTCTGAATCCTATGGTAAACGTGTTCATCCTTGTTTTGAGTAGCAGTTAAGTGTGTCTGGGTCTGGGGTGTGGCGTATGTGTGGTCAGGACACAGCTTTCAGGGGTTGCTTCTCTCCCTGCACTGGTTCCAGACCATCGGGCTTGTTCAGCAAGTGCTCTTACCCACTGCCCCATCTCGCCAACATGATTGAACATGCACAATCTCACCTTCACATCAACACCTTTCTCTAGCCGGCTTTCTGGCTCTGACTTCATCAGCCAGTAGTTGCTGGAATTCTTTCCACCATTTTTAGAGGTTGAAGTCTTCTGAGGGCTGGGACTCTCTAGCTTAGCGGATGTATCTCCCGAGCTTTCAGTCTTAGTACGCTTTTCTGATGGCTCCTTCTTGTCTGCAATAGAAGCAAAGGAAAATGCTTGTCACTCTGCTGGGAGGCAATGTTCTATTGTGGAAAAAGACAAAAACAAAAGACTTACTACTTGGTGTCATACCTGGACTTAAAACTTAGACTATAAGCACTAACTATAGCACCACAGTCCTGTATAGAAGTAACGTCACCTTCTCTTTAAAATCTGGCTCCAAGATGACATCCTCTTGACTCTTAACCAGTGAAACCATCAACTCATATCAACTGCAACTACCAGTGCTGGGCCCACACAAGATTGGCCCTGTCAACTGTCATCCACAAATGGGGGAGGAGCTCATAAGGCCCTATCCTTTATTGCTAAAATTATTGGCTACTAATAGGTTCTGGGAGAGGGGGAGTCGCTGTCTTGAATTACGTAGCCACCACTGAGCTCACCAGCTTCTACTAGATAGCTCCAAACCCATGGCTTCATAAATGACCCTGGTTAAGCTCAGTGGGCCACAAACCAAAATGATTAGACAGGAGTGTAAAGTTTGTAGGCAAGCGCTAGCGTAGGAGACAGGTTTAAGTACAGTGGAGAGGTAGGACAGGGTGGGGTAAAAGTGGTCTAAGGGCTAGATTGATGGCTGTGTTTTAGATTCCATAAAACTCCAGCCAGAGCCGAGCACTGGTGGTGCACGCCTTTAAAGCCAGCACTTGGGAGGCAGAGGCAGGCGGATCTGTGTGAGTTCAAGACCAGCCTGGTCTACAAGAGCTAGTTCCAGGACAGGCTCCAAAGCTACAGAGAAATCCTGTCTCAAAAAACCAACCCCCACAAAAAAAAAAAAAAAAAAAACCAAACAAACAAACCAAAAACACCTTAAAATTCGGGTTCAATTCCCATCATCCACATGGCTCACAACTGTAACTTCAGTCCCAAGAGGATCTAACACCCTTTCTAGCCTCTGCAGATGAGTGTGGTGCACAGACATACATATACTATGAAAATAAAGCATTGGAAACTTTTAAAAGCTGCTGGGCAGTAGTGGCACACGCCTGAAATCCCTGCACTTGGGAGGCAGAGGCAGAAGCAGGTGGATCTCTGAGTTTGAGAGGAATGAGTTCCAGAACAGCCTGGCTACACAGAGAAACCCTGTCCCAGAAAACAAACAAAAAACATTTTTTTACTTTTACAAAATGGTCCATTTACATTCTGTACATTTGTGAAATTGTCAAAGAAATGTAATCAATAAAAAAGAATACCCCCTTACAGAATACCTTCTAGATTACTCAATGAAGTAATTACTCCCATGGGGTTAAGGTTAAAGAATACCAGCAGTAATCAGTAAGTGTGTTCCGCCCCGACTCTGTGCCTTTAATCTGACTATACTTTCCGATGAGAAATGAAGCACTTACTTGAAACTGTTTTCAGTGATTACTTGATAATACAAAGGAAAGACTTAGGAAGTATCTCATTATTATAAATGCATGATCCCATACTTCTGCTGTATACATGCCTGATTCTTTAAGATGTCAAGAGAAGTGTATTCAGAACCATGTAGACATGGTAAAAACTAGATCTTTTTCCTCCTGTAGTGGGGACCGAACCCAGGACTTTACCCACGCTAGTCCAGCAACCTATCACTAAGCTACATCCCACCCCACCACCTTTTTTTTTTTTTTTTTGTATTTTAATGAGAGACTGTGTCTCACTAAATTTCCTAGCCTGGCCTTCAGCTCACTCTGTAGTCTGGATGAGCCATGAGTGAACAAATCTCCCTCCTAATTAGCTTGGATTATAGCTCTTTAGCATCAGCCCTGGTTTCCCCACCCCAATTGTGCTTCAAATATGCGAGGTGTGCTGTGCCGCTGAGCTACATCTCCAGCCCCGAAACTGGGCTTTTACTCCACGAGTGAAAGAAAATGTACTTGGGACACAGCAGTCACTCAGCATGCCAGGCCACAACCCTAAGTTGATACAGCCTCGGAGGTGTTCCGTCCACCTGAGCCATGCGCTATAGATCACAATCCAGCCGGGTAGAGCGAAGCCCTGAGTCGAGTCACGACTGTCACTTGAGGATGTCTGAACCTACAGTTAACTTACTCTGTTACCTCAGAATTTAGTTTGCTACTGCATCTGTCTTCGTTAAATATCATTACGGATGATGCTGTGAACTTAGTTATCTTAGCACAGTTTCCCAGCTCTCCTTAAGAACAGCCATACTATTAGATTAGTGCCTGCTCCAGACGTCATCAGAGAGGCTTCCTCTGGAGGCAGATGAAAATGGGTACAGAAACCCACAGCCAGACGTTATGCAGAGTCTAAATTGGAGGTCTCCAGAGGGTCCCTCCCCCTTGGAACTCTGAGAACCGCAAGGAAGAGATGGAGGAAAGATTGTAGGAATCAGAGGGGATGGAGCATGCCAGGAGAACATGGCCTACTGAACCAGCTAAGCAGGGTTCACCTGGGCTCACAGGCTGACGCAGCAGCAAGCATGGGGAGCCCGCAGGGGTCTGCACCAGGTCTCTGTATATATGTTGTGGCTGTTACCTTGGTATTTTTGTGGGATTCCAAACTGTGGGAGCAGGTGTGTCTTTGACTCTTGCCAACTCTTGGGACAAAGTCCTGTTGCAGTGCCTAGTCCAGCTTCTGTGTGAGGGTTTTTGCCTTGATTACTGTACCTTGTTTTTTCGTGTTTGGTTGTTGTCTCTTGGAGGCCTGCTCTTTTCTGAAGGGAGACAGAGGGGGAGTGGATGGGGTTAGGGACAGGGAGCTTGGAGGAGCAGAGGAAGGGGCAACTGTGGTTGGGGTGTATTGTATGAAAGAATCTATTTTCAATTAAAAAAAAAAAAGCACAGGCATTCTGTGTGTGGTTGAATAACCACAATGTGTTGTGACCGACCTGCAACCTGTCGTTCTTAGGAGAGGTTCATTCTACCTTCCACTGCTTAAGTTCTGCTCTTTTTAAAAAAAAAAAAAACTTTTTTATTTTTTTAAGATTTATTATGTATACAATGTTCTGTCTGCATGTATGCTGCAGGCCAGAAGAGGGCACCAGATCTCATTACAGATGGTCCTGAGCAGCCACCCTTTGATTGCTGAGAACTGAACTTAGGACCTCTAGGGAGAGTGGCCTGTCCTCTTAACCTCTGAGCCATCTCTCCAGCCCCTCAATTTCTGCTTTTTATCCATAGTATACATTCACTTTTGTGAATGAAAGGACATGTATTCTTAGTTCTAGGATTTTGCTAGTGGAAAACCCTCACATTCTTGTAAGGCTGGGCTCAAAATCTGCTTCCTTCTCGAGGCCTTCCCTCTGATCCCGCCCCTTCCAGACCTCCAGCAGCCTGTCTTTTGTTCATACATGTTTGCACTTTCCCCTGGAAAAGGTACTGCACCTTCACTGCTTTCGCCTTACAGTCAATGGCCTTTTCCTATTGAATTCTAGCTGACACAGAAAGCAAAAATTGTAGATACTCAACAGGCACCAACTGCCATACAGTGTTTCCATGCATGTCTACGTTGGTTAATACTCAATCAGTTTGAATATACTTCCTGAAGCATCTATTTGTCTACTTTGAGGTAGAATCTCAGAACTCTGAAGCTCAGGCTGGCCTCCAGTCTGCAGCAGCCCTGCTACCTTAACTGCCCAGGTGTTGGGACTGCAGGTAGGAATATCACAAATGTTTTTTTTTTTTTTCTTTGTTTGTTTTGGAGATGGGGACCCATGCTGTAGCCCAGACTGGCCTAGAACACAGTTGTCTTGATGACAGGCATGAGCTGTCTCGGGGGCTGATTGTTTGTGGTGAAAGCATTTAAAGTTCTTTGCTCCTGCTTTCCTGCACTGTGCAGTGTGCAGTCCTCAACAGCAGAAAATACAGCCAGTTGCTGGCTGCAGCAACCTAAGCTTAACTCACGACCTGGGATTCGTACAGCACACAAGAGGATTCCGAGGCCAGCGAGAATGATGCCAAGTTGGAGCTTAAAAGATTTCAAGTTGGGCATGTTGGCTAATGTCTGTAGTCTCTGAATTTTAGAGCCTGAAGCAGGAGCCTTGCGGCAAGTTCAAGGCCAGACTAGGCTAGAGAGGTCTGTCTCCAAACAAGAAAGGGTTTGACATAAAATTAAGCAAGGCATTAAGAGACAGATGCTAGAGCATCAGGAAAGGCGTTTACTGCCAAGCCAGATGATCTGACTTCTAGCCCCTAAGGCCCATCGACGAGAGAACCAACTTCCAGGCACCAGCACTTGGGCCAGGGCACACATACACAGAATCTGAAAAGCCAGCAGAGACACAAGCTAAGGTAAGGACCTCGGAAAAGCTCTGGAGCAGACAGGGCTTGTCAGCTGCGCTAAGTGTCTCAGCGATAACCATGGATAAGATTCGGGTAGTCTCTGAAATACATTGTCCAGATTTAAGATCTGTTTTGGATAATTTATCAAACCTACAATGAAAGCACTTGGGGGTAGGGGCAAAAGGATCAGGAATTCAGGTCATCCTCAATTATTTAGCAATCCCAAATGAACAGGTTGATAAGATAAAAACCTAGGAAAAGCAAATTGTGTGTGTTGGGGGGTAGGGGATGAAGGGTGGAGTGGGGTCTCCTGTAGCTGGCCTCAAACTCTATGTAGTCAAGGACTATCTGGAACTGACCGAGATTTTAGCTTTTTTTACATTCCATACGAAACCACACACAGCTTCCTCTGTCTGGCTTATTTCATCAGAAGAATAATCTAAGGGCTGCTAAGGTGGCTTAGGTGGCAAGGGCATTTTTTTTTTTTTTGTTAATCAAAGCCTGACAGCTTGAGTTCTATCCCTGCTATTCACACGGTGGAAAGGGGAAACTGATTCCTGCACGTTAATCTCTGAAGACATTGTGTGTGCCTAGATAAAAAAGTTGATAAATCTAATTTTAAAAATATAGTCTGTTTCCACCCTTAGTGGAAAAGCTATCTCTACACACACAATCTCTCTCTCTCTCTCTCTCTCTCTCACACACACACACACACACACTTTTGGAGATAGGGTCCTGCTTGTGTAGAGCTGGTGTGGTACTCACTACTATGTAACCAGGCTGATCTAAGGCAATCCTCCTGCCTCAACCTCCCACATGCGTGGGTCACCACAGCACAATACGTATATGTATTGCAAATATCTTTAGTGCTTTTTTGTTTGTTTGTTGTTTGAATGGACGAACAAGAGGTAAAGACTTCAAGTGGAAGTTTGGCAGAAAGAATAGAGATGACAGTAAGTAACAACCTTCAAAGTTTCCCTCCAAAATCAGGAATGCACGCCCTACAGAAACGTTCTTCCCCCGCTGCCTTCGGCAGCTTAGGTGCGGCTCACCTGGGCCAGCAGCCCCAGTTAGCCTCTTCCGGGTTCTCGGCATGCTGTCTCTGCAGGAGGCTGAAGATAACCGGACGTGCAAGAAGCAACTCTTGTCTTCCACAGCCTGCACGGTGCAAGATGGAAGCAAGGAAGCCTAAAAGGCCCGAGACTTGTGAATAAAAATCATATTAAGCCATTATAACCCGCCCCTTCGTTATCTGCGCCCTTTCCATCTCGCATCTGCCCCTGAACACTCCTTAGTCCCTTATTCGGTTTTTTCCTCCATCACTCTCTCAACACACCAGCCAGACCTTTGAAGAAGCTCTGCCAGGCGGATCTTCAGAACGCCTTGAGGAGACTAGCGCGCCCTCGCGTACCGTGTGGAAGATACAACGCTTTGGCACCGCTCCGAGGTTCTCTGGGAACTGTAGTCCCAGCACCGCAGTAGTCCTCCTGGAGCTCAAGCTTCAAGAGCTTGATGGACTATAACTCCCAGGGTGCCACGGGGAGGGTCACGAGCAGCAAGTTCTGGCCTGGGCAAGCTGGTCCAGGGATTCAGACTGAGAACAGCTGTGACGATGTTACGGTGTGGCTCCCGGCGCCTTGGCTGTCTACGCGCTGCATTCCGGTCCCTGGCTCAGACCGATCACCGGAGCGTCACCCTCTGCATCGATCGTAAGGCTCGCCTGGGCGAAGGGAGAACGGGACTTGGTGGGCATCTGTGCGTGCCCAAGTTTCTGGCTGCTTGCTGGTTCTGGGCTTTGTCTTGACACATTCACCCGACCCCCTCTGTCCAGTCCTCAGGTCCCTTGACGGACTCCTTTCTTTCTTAGACCCTGCCCTGACTTGGGCCCGCTTCCCTCTCCCCATACCAGTCCGGTTCCCCTAACCTGCTTCCTTCCATAACCCAGGATCTGCTCTCAGCACCAGCTCCGCGTGGTCTCTGCCACCCGCTCTTAATCCACCCCCCAGCCCCAGCCCATACATAAAGGAAATTGTTACTTAGGGTGGTTGAAATAGTATCACGAGATTCTCAAGGTAGCAAGAACGTAAGAATATGGGTGCTGGTCGAGAAAACTCTCTTCACGTACGTGGATTTCATAATTTATAATCTGTGAGTAGAAAACACTTACACTGTAGAAACTGCTGCAGGAAAAAGAAAGATTACCACATTGAGAAACCCTATCAGAGATTACAAACTGATTGTTTAGGAACCTGGCAGAAAACTTGAAGGTAACAGCGTGTGGTTGCCACCCACGCTGATCATGGAATACACAGCCAGTTTTCTGGTTCTGTCAGTCACTTAAAATAACAAACAAAAACCCCAAACCACCTTTTTCTCTGAAGCAATTTTAAAAATGATTTTTATTTACTTAAAATAAGTATCCATTGTTTATGGCAGCATGACCTTGACGATTGAGAAAAAAATCTATAAAGTACGCGAAGGCATAGAAGACTGTTTTCTCTAGATCAGAATCGCTTTTAAAGGCACTGCCCTACTTAGGAAATAACCAAAGTCTCCCTGTTTGACCAAAGCTAGTAAGAGTTTGTCCCAGAAACAAACTAACAAAATGTGAGTTTTCCCGGTAGTTGGTGGTTTGACTTGAGCAACTTAGATTCTTTCACTCCTTTTAAAGAAGGTGCTAGAGTTAGGGACCTAGCTCCGGCAGTTTGCTTTTTAGAGTCAGGGTGTCACAATGCAGCCCAGGCTGTTCTTGAATTTGCCACGTGTAATTCATGTTCCTCTGTGACCTCACCAGTGCTGGGTCTATAAACATGGCATTATGTTGGCTTTAATTTGCTATTTATTTACCACTACCTCTATTTTTTTTCTCTAAGCAATGTTTTCCTACTGTTGATCATTTCTAAAGTCAACTGTATTTGTTATATAAGAAGAATATGTAGTTACATATTGCATTTACTTATATATAACTTATTTAGAACTACTCTTCTTTAGTTAGAATGAAATTCTAAATTTCTAAGTCTTGGGTTACCTAAACTTGGCTTATTTTAGGAAGTAGCCCTTTATTCTGTCATATGATAAAGATTTATTAGTATATATTAAAGCAGGATATAGTGGCTCATATCTGTAATCTCAGTACATCAGAAGCATAGGTGGAGGATTATCTCGAGTTTGAGGCAACCTCTGTAGCTTGGGCTACAGAGTTAGACCCTGTCTGAAAAACTAGAACCAAACAAAACAAGTAACAACAGACTCTATATTGAGCTGTTACTAGAAGTAAAATTCTGCAGCTCTTCTTTATACCTTAATGTCTTTAAATTATTACCATTTAAGTGTGTGTGTGCGTGTGTGTGCGTGTGTGTGTGTGTGTGTGTGTGTGTGAATGGACCCCATTTATTTTTATAGCACCAGTATTGCTACATAATCCATGCTCTGATATTTGTTGGGTGCAAGGGTATTGGTACTGTTGTTCAAACTTAGGGATTTGCTGGGGCTGACAAGTACCTACCATGGAAGTATTCCTCTGGTCCCATTTTCTTGTTCGTTGTTTAGTGAGTTTACTGCAACAGTTTTTTTTTTTTCCTCCTAGTACCATGAGTTGGATCCAGGTACTAGGAGAAAAAAAAAACATGCTAGGCAAGTCATTGGCACTCAGGTGTATTCTTCCTCCTTCTGCAGATAAGCGTTAAACTATGATCTATAGCAGCATTGTACAAGAAAGCATGAAAAAAATGGCCTGTCAACCCCCCCATAAGGAAACCGTGATTTTTTTTTTTCTTTTCTTTAATCCCATGCCATATTCCTAAGGGTGATACCCTCAGGTTTCTGCTCTGGGTCTCTTAGGGAAGCATTCTCTAGAATCCTGATAACTATTCTGGAACTCTCTATGTAGGTCTGGTGGGCCTCAGACTCTCAGAGAGGCACCTGAGTGTGGGATTAAAGGTGTGAACCACCATGCTTGACTTACCTTTTTACTAAGAGTGATGCCCACATCTTCCCCAGAGGAACAGACTTTGCTGTGGTATTAGGAGTGGCGGGGCTGCGTCCCCAGCACCCCGGCCACCTGGCTAGCTTATGCCCCGAAATAACAACACACAAATTGTATTCTTTTAAACACTGCTTGGCCCATTATATCTAGCCTCTTCTCAGCTAACTCTCGCACCTGGACTAGCCCATTTCCAATCATGTGTGTAGCACCCCAAGGTGCACTTACCGGGAAGATTCTAGCCTACATCCATCCTGGGCCAGAGCTGAATCACGTCTGCCCGGGGGAGAGGAGCATGGTGTCTCTGAGCTCACTTCCTCTTCCTCCCAACATTCTGTTCTGTTTACTCCTCCCACCTATGTTTTAACCTATCAGGGCCAAGCAGTTTCTTTATTGCTTAACCAATGAAATCAACAGATTGATATATGACACTCCCACATCACTTTGCCGCCAACACTAATGAGCTATTGCAAAGACTGGGCATAGCTAGCAGGCTCCAGAGTAATTCATTGTCAGATTTGCTTGGACTTTTTCTTTAAGTTTACATTCATACCACCCCAGATGTCCCCATCTTAGGTATTCGTCAGTATCATAATGGCCAAAGTTTTTTAGATGAAAGGCCATACCTTAAAACATAACTACAGAGTAGCTACGTGTCCTCCCTGCCTCCCCCGAGCCATCACCACACCCTCGCCTTTTACTGGGTCTCTAAGTGTAGGCATGTACTCACTCCTTCCTGTAGTTTCCACACCTGAGTCAGTTGTTCTCACAGTAGAAGAGAAATGGGTATGAGCAGTGTAGGCCTGCCTGATCCGCTCCAGGTTGCTGGGTCTGCCACCCTGCTCTGGTTCCTGGAATTTGTTCTGTCCTCGTTTCAAGTCTTAAAAGGTCACTGCTTCCCACTAGAGTTTTGCCTAAGTTCATTGCTTTCAGTGTCTGCCCTGTCTCTGTTGAAATCCGCTTCATCTTAGAGACTCGCGAGTTGGTAGACAATTTTGCTTTCCAACTCAGTCCTACCTTCCTTACAGAATGTGGTCTTTGGGGATGAATGTAAAAGTCAAATTCTGTGTTTCACCGCTAGGGGGCCAAGTTACTTATATCAGTGTCTCTCTGTTTCCTCTGAAGAGATGCCTTTACAGTGGAGCCTTTGTAAGTTTTATGAGTTCCTAGAAAATTTCCCCATCCTCACTTTCCCAATTTATTCTCCTAAGATCCATTTATCTCAGTCAAAGAAATAAAGCAGTTACCCAAAGTCATATCACTGGTGGCTAGGACAGGAACCTTCCTGTCTTAAAGAGTTCAACTTCTCTGTTGGGGATTTAACTGTGTAGAAAGCTTTATTTAAAAAAAAAAAATCAGTGTTATCCATGAGTTGTATGGCCATATATTCCATTGCTTTCTGAGCAGGAAAGCACTCCAAAGTACACAGATTATGATTTCTCAATTTGATGTTGTAAGATGAGTGCATTGGTACAAACAGTGGCTGCTGCCAGATACACAGAGATTGGGTGGAGACTTTTTCAAGGTATTTATGCAGAAAAGCTGGGGCAGCCCATCAGAAAACAAGCTATTTGAGGGCTTTTGTGTTTTTTTTTTTTTTTTGTGATGCTGAGCTTGAAAAGGGACATCAATGAGGCAACCCTTTGCTTTGAATTGTCTCCCCAGCTCTTCATTTAAAGAAAGAGTGGATTGATGAGGAAGAGGAGATAAACAATTTTGAAAAGGCAGTTGACCCACTTGATTGAAAGGAAGAATGGTGGGTCAGCAAGCTGACTTTGCGGGGGTAATGGCACCTGCCACTGAGTCCCAAAAGTTGTCCTGACCTTTACATGCACCTGCACACATACACATTCACACACTGAATACAGGAATACAATCACACTTTGCGCAGGGCCATGCTAATCTTCTCTGGATCGTTCCAATTTTAGTATATGTGCTGCCGCAGCGAGCACTGCAATCACACTTTAAAAGGAGTCCCAGCGGTGTTTCATGAGTTAGTATCTTTATGCCTCCTGCTCTCTTACACTTTGATTCTTTTTGCATCTGGTTCTTCCCCACTGCTTTCACTGAGACCTCTACCTATTTGGGGCTATACCTTTATCTTCCTAACTGGTGGAGGAAGAGATCTCTGGGAATTACCCTTAGGATAATGTGGGTATGTTTAAGTGCTGGAATTATCCCTTATCCACCCGGGAAACTAGTCATGATGCTAGCACCGGGGTCCTGGATGCAGGATGATCACAAGCCTGAGGCCAGTCTAGACTAGAACAGGACACCCTATCTCAAAAACAGAAACAATAAAACGCATAATAAATAGCACCGTTCTCTTGCTGTTAGAGGATATGCCTAGGAAATCCTATAGTAGATCTTGTCTTCCGCTTTGAGGCATTCCTTGTCAGCAAAGCTCTTCTCTCACTTCCATACTAGAATTGATTATGTCTGGTCCTGTTCACAGCTTCCGTGGGACTAAATGAAGAACAGAAAGGATTTCAGAAAGTGGCCTTTGACTTCGCTGCTCGGGAAATGGCTCCCAATATGGCGGAGTGGGATCAGAAGGTAGGAGTCTTCTTGAGGGTAGGTGTTCAGCAAATGCCTCCTGCAGTGACTTATCTCTCCCTCTTTGTATTCCTAACTGCTCCTGTCCTCCACTCACCAACCCTTACTGCAAGTGTGAAGACTGATGGTAGCTGTGGTTGAGCTTGATGGCAACTTGATACAAACTGGGGTCATCAGAGAGGAGGAGCCTCTATTATGGAAATGCCTCCATAAGATCTGGCTGTAGCCAAACCTATTTGGTATTTTCTTTTTTACATTTTTTATTGGCAATTATTGAGCTCTACATTTTTCTCTGCTCCCCTCCCTGCCTCTCCCCTCCCACTTCAATCATCCCCAAGGTCCCCATGCTCCCAATTTACTCAGGAGATCTTGTCTTTTTCTACTTTCTACTTCCCATGTAGATTTGATCTATGTGAGTCTCTCTTAGTGTCCACATTGTTGCCTAAGTTCTCTGGGATTGTGGTTTGTAGGCTGGTTTTCTTTGCTTTATGTTTAAAAAACACCTATGAGTGAGTACATGTGATAATTGTCTTTCTGTGTCTGGGTTGCCTCACTCAAAATAATGTTTTCTAGGTCCATCCATTTTCCTGCAAAATTCAAGCTGTCGTTATTTGTTTCTGCTGTGTAGTACTCCATTGTGTAAATGTACCACATTTTCCTATTCATTCTTCGGTCGAGGGGCATTTAGGTTGTTTCCAGGTTCTGGCTATGACAAACAAAGCTGCTATGAACATAGTTGAGCACATGTCCTTGTGGCACGATTAAACATCCTTCGGATATATACCCAAAAATGGTATTACTCAGTCTTGAGGAAGGTTGTTTCCTAATTTTCTGAGAAATCGCCACACTGACATCCAAAGGGGTTGTACCAGCTTGCATTCCCACCAGCAATGCAGAAGTGATCACTTTTCCCCACAACCTCTCTGTTAACTAAGGATATTGAACAAGCCTTAAGTGTTTTTCAGCCTTTTTAGATTCCTCTTATGAGAGTTCTCTGTTTAGGTCTGTACTTAAATTTTTTTTTATTGGATTATGTGATATTTCGTGTTCAATTTCTTGAGTTCTTTGTATATTTTGGAGATCAGACCTCTGTCTGATGGGGGAGTTAGTGAAGACCTTGGCTTTACAGAAGGTTTTCAGTTTCAGGAGGTCCCATTTATTAATTGTTTCTCTCGGTGCCTGTGCTACTGGGGTTATATTTAGGAAGTGGTTCCCTGTGCCAATGCTTTCAAGTGTACTTCTCACTTTCTCTTCTGTAAGGTTCAGTGTGGCTAGCTTTATGTTGAGGTCTTTGATTCATTTGGACTTGAGTTTTGTGGATGGTGATAGATATGGATCTATTTTCATTCTTCTACATGTTGATATCCAATTATGCCAGCACCACTTGTTTTTTTTCCATTTAATATTTTTTGCTTCTTTATCAAAGATTAGATGTTCAAAGATGTATGGATTGATATCCGGGTCTTCTATTTGGTTCCATTAGTCGTCCTGTCTGTTCTTATGCCAATACCAGGCTGTTTTCAGTACTGTAGCTTTGTAGTAGAGTTTGAAGTCAGGGATTGTGATGCCTCCAGAAGTTCTTTTGTTGTACAGGATTGTTTTGGCTATCCTGGGTTTTTTGCTTTTCCAAATGAAATTGAGGACCGTTCTTTCAAGGTATTTGAAGAATTTTGCTGGGATTTTGATAAGTATTGTGTTGAATCTGTAGATTACTTTTGGTAAGATTGCCATTTTTACTATGTTAATTCTGCCTACCCAAGAGCCTGGGATATCTTTCCACTTTCTGGTGTCTTCTTCAATTTCTTTCTTCAAAGATTTAAAGTTCTTGTCATACAAATCTTCCACTTGTTTGGTTAGAGTTACTCCAAGATATTTTATGCTATTTGTGGCTATTGTGAAGGGTGTTGATTCTCTGATTTCTTCCCCAGCTCTTTTATCATCTGTGTACAGGAGGGCTACTGATTTTTTTGAGTTAATCTTGTATTCTGTTACATTGCTAAAAGTGTTCATGAGTTATAGAAGTTCCTTGGTAGAACTTTTGGGATCACTACAGGAGATCACTTCCTAAGTATAACCCCAGTAGCACAGACACTGGGAGAAATAATTAATAAATGGAACCTCCTAAAACTGAGAAGCTTCTGTAAAGCAAAGGACTTGGTCAACAAAACAAAAACGGCAGCCTACAGAATGGGTAAACATCTTCACCAACCCCACAAAGGAGAGAGGATTGATCTCTAAAATACAAGAAATTGTGAATCAAAAGAACAAATAATCCAATAAAAAATGGGATACAGACCTAAACAGAGAACTCTCAACAGATGAATCTAAAATGGCTGAAAGACACTTAAAGAAATGCTCAACATCCTTAGCCATCAGAGAAATGCAAGTCAAAACACCTCTTAGATTTCATCTTACACCTGTAAGAATAGCCAAGATCAAAAACACCGATAACAGCTTGTGCTGGAGAGGATGTGGGATAAAGGGAACACTCCCCCATTGCTGGTGGGAATGCAAATGGGTACAGCCCCTTTGGATATCTGTATGGTGATTTCTCAGAAAATTAGGAAACAACCTACCTCAAGACCCAGCAATACCACTTTTGGATATATAACCAAAGAATGCTCAATCGTACTACAGGGACATGTGCTCAACTATGTTGATAACAGCTTTGTTTGTCATAGCCAGAACCTGGAAACAACCTAAATGCCCCTCAACCAAAGAATGGATAAGGAAAATGTGGAGTACTACACAGCAGAAAAAAAATGACATCTTGAAATTTATGAACAAATGGATGGATCTAGAAAACATGCTATTGAGTGAGTTAATCCAGACCCGGAAAGGCAAATATGTGCTCACTCATAAGTGGCTTTTAGACATAAAGAAAAATCAGCCTACAGTTCACAATCCCAGAGAACCTAGGCAACAATGAGAACCCTAAGAGAGACATACATGAATCTAATCTACATGGGAAGTAGAAAAAGACAAGCTCTCCTGAGTAAATTGGGATCATGGGGACCATGAGGGAGGGTAGAAGGGGAGCTAGGAAGAAAGGAGGGGAGTGGAGAAAAATATATAGCTCAATAAAAAAAAATGAAAAAAAGAAAGCAGGCGAAGCAAGCCATGGGAAGCAAGCCAATAAGTACCACCCCTCCATTGTCTCTATCTGGTTCCTGCCACCTGCCCTGCTTGAGTTCCTGCCCTCACTGCTTTGGATGATGAGCTGTTGTGTGGAAGTATGAGTGAAATAAACCCTCTCCTTCCCAAGTTGCTTTTGATCATTGTGTCTTATCACAGCAATACTAACCCTGACTAGAACAGTAGAGACTTTCCCTAGAAGTCATCCCAGACATTATGTAGATGTCCCTTGTCATTCTTAATTTATCAAAGATTTAGACACATATAATATCAAAAGAGTTTTATTAAAACATATTTGGAGAACATGTTAACTGAGACCACTATAAAAATAACAAGGGTAGCCGGGCGATGGTGGCGCGCGCCTTTAATCCCAGCACTCGGGAGGCAGAGGCAGGCGGAGCTCTGTGAGTTCGAGACCAGCCTGGTCTACAGAGCTAGTTCCAGGACAGGCTCCAAAGCCACAGAGAAACCCTGTCTCGAAGAAGAAAAAAAAAAAAACCAAAAAAAAAAAATAATAAAATAACAAGGGTATTTGAAGTTAAGAGAATTCCTATAATCTCCCAAATGCAAACATCCTCATCCCTCTATTGTCCCCTCTAAAAGAAAATCTGTCTCAGGACCAGTCCCTTACTGCCTTGCTCTCTTTTCTGTAGGAGCTGTTCCCTGTGGATATGATGCGGAAGGCAGCACAACTGGGTTTTGGGGGGGTCTACGTACAAACAGACGTGGGTGGGTCTGGACTGTCTCGCCTCGATGCTTCTGTCATCTTTGAAGCATTGGCCACAGGCTGCACCAGCACCACTGCCTATATCAGCATCCACAAGTGAGTATCCATGCCCAAAAGCATGGTGGAGGGCTATACTCACACGGGCTGGTACAAAAACCCGAGACTCAGGAGAAAAAGATGAATCATGTTGGGTTGATTGTACTTGAGAAACTGAACTGTTACCGGTACACAGTAGGTCTGCAGCTGGCTGCTGGATTTGATTCTGTTGTCTTCTATATGAGAGCTTAGGTGATCAGTCCTGTTGACCTCCCAAGTCCCAGTTTTGGTACCAGCAGACTTCTCCAAACCGCCAGTAATTTGAGAAATAATAGGAAGTACATTGATCTCTGGTTTTTAGGACTCATTAATCTGAGAAACATCTGGGCCTCAGGTATAAGTATTCCAGTAATGATTTTAAACCAGCCCGTTCCTTTCAAGTTGAATCTTCTCACTTGTCTCTTTTCCTTTCCCACACTCTCCTGCTTTCATTCTGCTTGGTCGCCCTTTGTTTCCCATGCCACCCTTCTCCGCCGGATTCTCTTTTCTGTCTGTGTTTCTGTCGATGCCTTTTCTTGTCAGCATGTGTGCCTGGATGATTGATAGCTTTGGAAACGAGGAACAGAGGCACAAATTCTGCCCACCGCTCTGTACCATGGAGAAGTTTGCTTCCTACTGCCTCACTGAGCCAGGTGCGTTCATCCTCCCTGTAAGTGACACCTAGCAGAGAGAAGCAGAGCCTGTGTGTTCAGTGAGCAACTCCGGCTGTTGGAACGTAGTCCGGCTTATCAAGCATTTGCCTGTGGAGTAGTATAGGTCCCTGGGGCCTTATAGGTCAGACTTCCTCCTGGCTTCACCCCACTGCTAACTGATTTGGTAGAGAGACAGTGTACAAGCAGTTTTTACCCAGTGTGGACGATTCTGTGGCCATGGGATGTTAAGCTATTGCATGATGACCTATCCGAGGATGATTTCTAGGATGTGGAACTGTGCTCAGCTGCTTTGATGTCGCTGACTGGCATCTTTGTTCCCCTTTGGTCCCTACTTCAGGAAGTGGGAGTGATGCTGCATCTATTCTAACCTCAGCCAAACGACAAGGAGATCATTACATCCTCAATGGTTCCAAGGTAAGAGCATGTGTTCCCAGGGCAACCAGGGGCTGTTCCTGTAGACCCCTTGATAGCCTTCAGATCCTGTGAGTCTGAGTTAGCATTCCCACACATGATTACATGCTGGGGAGAGACTCTCACTCTTTATCTTTTACGATCCGATTCTACACAATGGCACGGATTTTTGTCGTTTATATTCTTACAAACCAAAGCCCCGATTCTGTAGGCTCTGCCAAAGCCATTTACCTTTTACCCCCTTCTGTGCATTATGCCTTTGTTCTGTCGTCAGGCATGTGCCAGCGGTTTTCCCAGATGTCAGGTGCAGAACTCATGCATTCGCTGATCCCCATACACCCCCTCTCCACCCACAGGCCTTTATCAGTGGGGGTGGTGAGTCAGACATCTATGTGGTCATGTGCCGGACTGGAGGATCAGGCCCTAAGGGCATCTCCTGCATCGTCGTTGAGAAGGGAACCCCTGGCCTTAGCTTTGGCAAGAAGGAGAAGAAGGTGAGTGGCTACTCAATTGTAAGCAATCCAAACTATGAGTCTCTCTGTCTGTTAGACCAACTCCTGTCCTCTTTCATGGAACGGTTGTAGCTAAAGAAACATACACCTGGGAAAAGACAAACTTTTTCATCTAGTTTCATACGCTGCCTCTACTGTTTAGATTCTCTCTCTCTTTTTTTTTTTCTGTGTCCACTTTTGTTCTGTATTTTTTTTTCTCTTTTTCTGTGCTGTATGTTTATGTACATGTGTTGGAGGGGCGTTGATGTTAGATGTCTTCCTCAATTGTTCTCCACCTTATTTTTTGCTCAGGGTCTCCTTTAATTAAATTTAATTATCTTACTCTTCTTCTTATTTGGCACGGTCTTACTGTATAGCCCTGGCTGTTCTGTCTGTGAGGACAAGGCTGGTCTCAGACTCACCGAGGTCTACCTCCCTTTGCCTTTATGCCTGACCAGGCAGCATCTCCTAATGAACCTGGAACTTACCTCTTTAGTGAGACTGGCTGCCCAGTAAACTCTAGGGATCCTGCTGTCACCACCTTCCGAGCTATACCCGGCTTCCCTTGTGGGTACTGAGGATTGAACTTAGATTCCCATATGCGCAGCAAGCACCTCACCAATTGAGCCCTCTCCGCAGTCCTTGTCCTGTATTTCATACTCAGCTTCCATCACTCTATGTTATCCCAAAAAGAGATAAGTTACGAGAGGACTGATGCTTGTTAGAAGTCTCAGGACACTTTTCTTCTCTAAGCAAAAATGAAATACTCATTGACAGGGAGAGGCTGTAGGTGTTTCAGCCATCTAAGAACTTGTTTCCATGAGTGCATTGAAAAATAAGATGTTCCTAGGACTAAGAAATCCCACGTGCAGGAAACTTGTGGTAATCTAATTGCCAATAAGATAGAGCTCACTGAGTTTTTCTTTAGGACAGATGATCAAAAGTTGTTGTCCTTGGATTAGGACTTTTGGAGATACGGCAGCTATGAAGTGACAACTGAACACTCCGTGTATCTGCACAGGGCTTCCAGATCTTCCTTCACGATGCTGTGGGCCCTTAACAACTGCCACAAGATTAGATAAAGGTTTTAGTGCCTCCGCTCTTCACAGAGTAACAGGTTATTATATACCTACAGTGTTCAAGGCTATGTTATCTCTCGGAAGGATACGGAATCTTTTGTAATGAGTCTTTTTCTGTTCAAACAGTCAGCTCTCCATTAATGACATGGAGACTTATTATTAACTATGAAAGCTTGGCTTATAGCGTAGGCTTGTTTCTAACTAGCCCTTATAACTTATATTAACCTGTTTCTATTAATCTATGTTCTATCACATGGTGTCATCTCTCTTCCATCTTGCACATCCTGTTTCTTCTTTATGTCTCCAGGCATCCCGAAGTGTCTGAATTCTTTTTCTTCTTTTCTCACCCTGGAAATCCTGCCTGTACTTCCTGCCTAGTTTTTGACTGTTCAGCCTTTTATTACACCAGTAACAGCAATACATCTTCACATAGTATCCAAATATCCCACAATGATCCTTAGTCATTCCTAGCCCTGTTTGGACTTATCTGTATGGAATCTTTACAGCTGGGCATGGTGGTGCACACATGATTCCATCATTCGGAAGTCTGGGCCAGTAAGATTGCAAGTACTAGGCCAGCCCAGGCTACATGTGATACACACACCCCAAAATTGTAACAACAAACATAGTTGCCTATTTTCAGAAGCAAAAAAGCATTTTGGTGTGTATGGGTGGGGTTGCAGTGAGCAAGATAGGGGCTGGAGTCTTTTAGTTAGCATTTACTTAATATTGATGAGAGCTTTTAACCTTCTATGTATTAACTTTATAGGAGGGTAATTATATTACTTTATCTTGGATTTAGTTATTAAGAGGCTTTATATGGAAGAATGAGTTTGTCACTTGACTTCTTCATGACCTTTGTTTCCTACATAAAAGTATAAAGCTGAAAGTTTGTAGGTCCTCTTAGCAAAGTCCCGTTCCGATGTTTCATGTGTAAATAAAAAGGCTGCACTGCTTCACCCCGTTAGCTCCTCATGAAGGTACCCAGAAACCCAAAGGACCCTCAGGCTCAGCAAGGCAGCTCATGAGCGCCGTCAACTATACACAATGCCCGAGCTCCCTCCTTCCTGGAAAATACAGCTTTTACATCATTTCCTGACATAAAAACATGTAGCCAGGCATGGTGGTGCCTGCCTTCACACCAAGCACTGGGGGCAGGGGCAGGAGGAACAGGAAGGAGTTCAAGGCAATCCTTCACTACATAGCAAGTTTGAGGTCAGTCTGGGCTCCATGAGATCCAGTCTCAGAGAACCAAAACTGAACAAATTGGACCGGAATTTGACCTCTTTTAAGCTCCTGTAGTCTCTACCCAAAGTCTGAAACGGGTTAATTTAAGTTAGAAGAGCAAGGTTGAGTATTCAGCCCATTACCGCTGTGTGTGATGGCTCCCTCTGTCTTTCATCTCCTCAAACTGAATACAGACATCTGAGAGGAAGAATGCATGTGAACATTTTGACCTTAAGAAAGTCTTGTCACTAAAGAAGCAAACTATGAATAGCTGCTGCCGCCTCACACCTGTAAGATCTTTAGTGTAAGAAGGATGCATCTTCATGGCTCAGGGGGGGGAAAATGCCTGCCACACAAGCAAGAAGTCCTCAGCTTACATCCCCAGTACCCATGTAAGGAACCAGGTGTTGCTGCGCACACATCTGCAACGGTGTATGTGGAAATGGAGGAATGAACACAGGTAGATTCCCATAGCTCATGGGCCAGGCAGTCTAGCCAACCCATGTTTGAGTCAGTTTCCCAGAGACCCAGTCTCAGGGAGAAACAGAGGAATGTGAGAGGACACTCTAGATGGGGAATGGCCCCATGGGCCTACGTCTGAGTCCTGGTCAGCAGTTGGCAGAACTGGATTAGAGGATGTGGCCTTGTGGGAGGTGTGTCACTGGAGGTTGGCTCTAAGGTCCTAAAAGTCATTCCTAGTTAGCGCTCTCTCTGCCTCATACCTTTGGACCAGAATGTAAATTCATGACTGTCATAGACTCTAACTCCTCTGGAACTGTGAGCCCCACATTAAATGGTTTTTTTTTTTTAAGTTGTCTTGGTCATGGTGACACCTCACAGCAAAAGAAAAATACCATGACAACCACCGGACAGCAGACATGAAAACAGCGAAAGTAAGATATGCAGAAGGGAAGAAAAGTAAAAAGCCCCAAGGCAAAAGGTAAATAAAGAGAAACAGGTTAAGCTAAAAGAGCTAGCCAGGACTGAGCCTGTGTAAGGGCAAGCATTCAAAACTAATAATAAGTCTCCATGTCATGACTTGGGAGGTGTCTGGTGGAAATGATGACCAGGTAGATCTGCGACAGAGGCTGCATTTCAAGTGCTCTCGAGTTTTTCTGGGCTTACATTTGACATATCCAGAGATGTTCTAGTAAGACATTTTTCTTGGAGAAACAAAACAAAAAACTTGTATTTGTGGCATTTGCTAATTCAATGGCTGTTTTCAGACCACCACAGTATGATCATAGAATGCCAAGTCAGAAAAAGGAGCGTAATTGGCTAACGCACGTTGACCGTACATTACCGAGTCTCTCTGCAGCTAAACGTTAGATCAGGGCTCTCCAGTACATTACATGTCCTTTATCTTATCTGCTTACAGCACTAGACCTTTGAAAGGGGAAGTGTGCTTATTGTTCCCAGCCTTTAAAAGTAAACTTTTCATGCTTGCCATGTGTGCTCACATATACTAAAAGTAAACTTTTCCAAAAAAAATCTCTTTTAGAAGTTGTACTCGGGGCTGGAGAGATGGCTCAGAGGTTAAGAGCATTGCCTGCTCTTCCAAAGGTCCTGAGTTCAATTCCCAGCAACCACATGGTGGCTCACAACCATCTGTAATGGGGTCTTCTGGCCTGCAGGCATACACACTGACAGAATATTGTATACATAATAAATAAATAAATATTTAAAAAAAAAAAAGAAGTTGTACTCATAGAGACAGTAAAACTGAGGATGGATCTAGTCCTGATCCTTCAGGAAGTGAGAAGTGTTTGTAGATAGATTATGCAAAGTCGATTTGTGTAATACATTGCACTGTTTTAGCCAGGCATGGTGAGTCACACTTAACAATCCACGGCCTTGGAACCTGAGGAAGGAAGAACATACTACAGGTCAGCCTGGACTACAGAGTGAAAAAAAGACCATGTTAAAAAATAAACAAAACACCGCTTTTCTGAATATAAGCATCTTTCTAAGTGTTGATAAATCTTCACATCTGAACTTTTTTCTCTATTTGGTGTTCTTATGGGCTTAAGTGCCAGGGTGCTGGCATCCATTACAGGCTTCTGTCCACAGGGAAGTCATCCCTGCTTGGGGAATCGTTGGGCAGCCACCCAGACCCTGATTTTTGCCAGGTGGGGTGGAACTCACAGCCAACCCGAGCAGTGATCTTTGAAGACTGTGCTGTCCCTGTGGCCAACAGAATTGGAAGCGAGGGGCAGGGCTTTCTCATCGCCATGAAAGGACTGAACGGCGGAAGGATCAATGTTGGTGAGGCCAGAAAGGAGTTGGGGAAGGAAGGCAAGGGCTGAGGCTAGCACTGTTGTTCAGGCTCAGATGATGTCCTTACTCCTCCCCTCCAGCATCCTGCTCTCTTGGGGCGGCTCATGCGTCAATTATCCTTACCCAAGAGCACCTCAAGGTCCGGAAGCAGTTTGGAGCGCCGCTAGCCAGAAACCAGGTAAGACAGCTAGGTTTAGCATTTGTACTCCGTTGAGACCTTCCCTTGGGCCCCCATTCTTGGCGGGATTGGGTGGGACTGATATCCCATGAAGAACTTTACACTGTCTTAATCAGAATGTATGTTGTACATTTACCTGTGCCTTTTTTCAAGAGGCAGTAATACCAAGGTAAACAATGCAGGCGTCTCTAGAAGTGGCGAGAGACTTTGATGTGCTTGGAAAAGGCTCCTAATTTGAGATATCTATGCTTATGTGTGTGTGTGTTGGGGGGGGGGGTGTGGATGTGTGCCTGCATGCAGTTGTATGCATGTCATAGTGTGGATGTAGAGGTCACGGGATAAGTTTCAGGTGTTGGTTCTCTCCTGCCACCCACGGGATCATCTTGGTAGAACTCAGATTGTTTTATCTATGAATGTGTATGTACCTCTGCTTGCTGAGCCAGCTTGCCAGCTCAAGCTGTTTTATCAGTGGTTCTAGATTAGATCCCAGATGACCTGTTTAATCCCATGTGGCCTTTTTGGTTCATCCTCTGTTGTGGCTGCAGTACCTGCAATTCCAGTTAGCAGACATGGCCACCAGGCTGGTTGCCTCTCGGGTGATGATTCGCATGGCAGCAGTGGCTTTGCAGGAGGAACGGGAAGACGCAGTGGTCCTGTGCTCCATGGCCAAGCTCTTTGCTACAGAGGAATGCTTTACTGTAAGTGATAAATCTTCTGGCCTTTCTGACAGAAGACAGGAAGAGCTGCTCTGCTTAGGGACTTTGAGAGGAATGTGTCAGCTATAGAACCCTAACCTCCTGAGGCACTGAAGGAATCACTTTGGGGCTTAAGGATACAAATGAATTTGTGAACGACCTGTAGTCGAGCTCTCCCTGCTGCCCTTGTGGCCTTCTCCATGACATTAACGCGTCAGTAAGACTCTGCTTTTGGATATGTTCTTGGTAAGGCACAGAGCTGTTTCCACGCTGAGACTGTATTGTCACTAGGGGGCGCCTGGACTTCCTATAATAAGTCATGGGGGCTGTAGACAGCTTTGCCTCCAGAACAGCCTGAAGAAGAAAGGCAGATGTGTGTGCCTTGTTTGACTGGTTCAGTAGGAGGATGGCCTTCGTGTCTGACCATTTAGAATCTGGAGCTCCTCTTGGGCCCCATTCATTCTCTGGTCCATGTATAGCAGACTGCCAGACTAAGGTTTGGAGTGGGGAGGGGAGCCAAGTACTCCACAGGCTTCCTGGGACCAAAGACATCTATTCCCTGTCTCCCAGCAGATCTGCAACCGGGCTGTGCAGATGCATGGGGGCTACGGCTACCTGAAGGATTATGCTGTTCAACAGTATATGCGGGACTCCAGGGTCCACCAAATCCTAGAAGGTAAAACTTTGCAGAGTTGTTTTCCTGCTACACTTTCCCCAACCTGTCTCAGTACTTCAGAGCTGGGATCCTGCCAGGCCCTCTGTCTTTTTCTCAATTCTCCCTTTCCTCAGCCCTCCTCTGAAATTGGTCTGCTGCTACATCAGAAAACACTCTAAGCTGGGAGCCAAGAGATTCTGCTTTATGCTCATGAGTGAAGCTGCACTCCACTTCTTTTGTAGATTTCAGAGAAGGTTCAACCCCAGCTAGTATGTGAGCCGTCTTGGAAAGTGCACTGGTGATTATTTTGTCCTGTTGTAAGACTGACCTCAGGAATCCTGAACCCCCAAACAGTAGTTTGGCAGCCACATTATCTAAATGTTATCCATGTCAGTATTGCTAGTGGTGTTTAGTAAAGTTACCAGCATGTGGATTTTATCTTCAGACATTGGTTGGGCAACTGTGAGGGCTATCAGTCAGACACAGAGTGTGCCTTCCACTCAGTATCAGTGCATATGCCCGGAAGTAGCATCACTCTGGCCCGGCTAGTGTAGGCAGCCAGAGCTGTTACAGGATTGCAGACACGTGGGATGGAAGCTTCTCTTGTGTTTCTTCGTGAAACCGTGTAGGGGTACTTTATTGGGGTCACAGAAGTCTGTAAGGATTTGCTTCCCTGCCTTCAAAGGGTTCATGTCGTAGCTGAGTGGTCACTATAATCTTTTTCTGAAGGACTTAGAAGTAGGCTGCTGGGTCCCACCCTCAGAGTTTCTGCTTCACTGGGCCAAGTGAACGCTGGGGTCACTGGTGTGGAAACAGACTGGGCCCCACTGTCCCTGTCTGAGTTCTGATCCTACAGGACTGCTTCTATCCGAACTGGAGCTCTGGCCTTGATTCGCCTCAGGCCTTTACAATAAAATTAAACTTCCAGAGTTGTTTTTTTGAGGGAAAATATTATCCTTTTGTGAGGAAATTTAGATTTAGCTTTCTTTGAGATTGTGTGATTATTGGTTCTGCAAGGGCTTTACTTTGTATTTTGTTTATACTGAAGGCCACTATCAAAAATAAAGTGAGCTATTAATTCCCTCCTTCAAGGTAAATGTTTTATCTTATGCTTTAGTTTTCTGGTTACAAAAGATATGTGTACTGCTGAGCCTATAAAATATACAAAAAGTAAAAGAAAAAATGAATCCTGTTTCTACATCTAGGAGATATTTATAATTTTGTTGTTAAATTCTTTGAACTTTTTTCTATCCTTTTGCAAGTATGACTAAATTTTAAAAATTAGAGTCATACTGTTTTTCTTTACTTGTTTAATACAGTCATTTTTGCCATAAGGAGAGATGTTTAAAAATGTCAATATTATTCCACTGAGCCAGCAAGATGGCTCATTGGTAATGGTACCCACTGTCAAACCTGAAGTCCTGAATTTGATCACCAGGACCCACATGGTGAAAGGAGCAAAGCAGTCCTGCACACTGTCGTCTGACCTTCACATACACACCATGGCATGGCACACCCACACACATACACACACTTGCACACACAATAAATACATGTAATTAAAAGAAAACACTGGGTATGCTGTTGTACACCTGTAATTCTAACACTGGTGAGAGCAGGAAGGTCAGGAGTTGAAGGTCATCCTCAACTATACATCTGGTTCAAGGACAGCCTGCGCTACATTAGACCCAGTCTCAAACCAAACAACAGCAAGTGTAAATACTGTTTCTTACACTGTCATTGTTTGGTAATTACAAAAGAAGCAACGGTTACAGTTTAAATCCATGGCTACCCTCTTCCTACTGAATCCTTCATTGTTCCTCTTGCAGGTAGCAATGAAGTAATGAGGATACTGATCTCTCGAAGCCTGCTTCAGGACTAGCTCCCAAACTGGAGACTCTAGCGTGGAGTTCATGCACAGCCACAGTCAGTCAGTGTGAGTGAGTGCTCATACAGGCTGTTCAATTGCTAATGGATCCTGCCGTACATTGAAAGGTCCGTGCTCGTCTGTTAGAGGACCTGAACGCTCAGCAGCAATGCTGGCTCTGAGATAGGAACAGGGTTCTCAGTAGAGGTGGAAGGGCCCTGAGGAGCCATACCAGAAGTTCTGCCACCCTGCTTTCCTCGTTCTGGAAAGAAGCAGTCAGCACTGTGGCTTGGATCCACATGATGTACGTTTTATTAATTCTTGACCTAGGGTCTGGCTACTTCAATGAAGTGTTTCCTGATTACAGAGGCAGTGTGGGAGGCAAGGGCAGCGGACAACCTGTTTCTTTCTGTTCTCTGTTCTGCACCGATGGTGTCTCAGGACATCAATCCTGAACTCGGATCATGATAAAGTGAATTATCTGGGAACCTACTGCTAAGCTATGAGTTGGGGTGTACCTTTGCTCCTGCTACCACATAACAAATGTCAAGGGCTAAGGTTATTTGGAACATTTGGATTTTTATATGGGCTTTTATTTCCTCTTTTTGGGCTGCTTATTTTTTTAAATACTTTTATTAACACTTGGTAAATAAAATCTACCTCTTTGCTCTGCCCTTCAACTATAAATTAAACTATACTTGATCCAGTATATATCTGATTCGTATTCCATTGGATTTGGGGATAATTATATTAATTCAGTATTTAATTGGATTTTGGAATAATTAGGAATCTTTCCTAAGGCAGTTTGTCTTTTAAAAAGTACATCTTTTAATTAGTAATTTTGCAAACAGCATTGTTCGTCATATATGGAAATCTTAAATATTATTCAATGATGAGGACTTTGGGGAAAACCCTGCTACATTACTTAATCCATCTTTTGATGTTTAGAAAAGAAAAATGTCCAATATATAGTGTTAACCACAAGTCACTGATTATAGAAAAAGATGTATGCCTATAGCTATAATAGACATTTGCTTCTCTGAAGGCTTACTCTGTCTGAACTTGTCTTGTACATGGGGAGCAAGGTGTGATTCAAAGTTGAAAATGAGATTCTGCTGTCCACAGTTGGACTTAACAGGAGCTGGATGTAATGCCTGGGCTGAGTATCTGTACAGATGGAATAGCCTGGGAGGAAGGCAGAAAGAGGTTCACAGAGAAGGTAAAAATATAGATTAAGCTTCTACGAAGATGGCTAATGTTTAAAGGGAGGCTACTCTACAGAAGCAGCCAGGAGAGGGCATATAAGACTTGTGTGGGCGGTGTTGTGTTTGTGTTCATCGTGATTGGGATTGGCATGAAACAGAAAATATGTTAAGTGCGGATAGAAAGATGGATAAAGATGGGTAGGGGTTTATTTACTCATTTGTGTGTAGGTATTTGTATAATGTTCATGTGTATGATGTTCATGATGTATATGATGTTCATGTGTATGATGTTCATGTATGATGTTCACATACACTTTGTATGTGTGAAGCAGCAATTTTTAGGAATCCATTTCCTTCCACCATGGGACTCCAAAACAGATCATCAGGCTTGTACAGAAAGCACTTTTACCCACTGAACAATTTCCCTGGCTCCAAATTAATCCATCCTTAAGAGTATTCAAAATTGTCATAGTGTGAGAGTCTCTTAGCCCATGCTTGGAAACAGGGAAGTGCAGGAAAGCCGTTGTAGAACAGTCTGAGAATGTCCACTGTGGAACCTTGTTATTCTAGAGACCTTGCTATTAACCAGTCTGTTTGCTGGCGTTGCTGAAGTTCCTGTTCCTCCTCAAAGCAATGACAATGCTATCCATATTGATGCCTTTGAAATTACGCTCATTGAAAAGTCCATTCCATGGAACTGAAATGATGGCACGGCAGTTAAAAATACTTGCTGCTCTTCCAGGGGACCCAAGTTTGATTCCCAGTACCCACATCAGGCATCTAACAACTGCCTGTAACTACAGCTTCAGTAACTCTGGCCTCTATAGGCACCTAGACTCATGTGTACACCCTCACACAGCCACACATGACATACACATAGTTAAAAGTAATAAAAAAAATAACAAAAATACAAACTAAGTGGGATGGTTCATTCCTGTAATCCCAGCACTCAGAAGGCCAAAGCAGGAGGATTGCTATGAGTTCCAGGGCAGCCTGGGCTACATACAGAAAGAGTGACCCTATTGTGAGCTGGCAATGTAGCTCACTTAACTAGTGTGTGGGAGCTCCTAGAGTTCTACCTTTAGCACTGAAATAAAGTTCTTCCTGTCATCTTCAGATATTACCAAGAGATTCCATATTCCTAATGACCTGGCAAGCATGGCCAATGAACTTTTAACTAATTCCCATCATTATTTTGCATTATAAGTAAAAACAAAAATACCATAGCAATATTCACTGTTCTTTGAGAGACACCTGTGGTAAGTCCAGATATATGGTAAGACATTTTTGTTTGGGGTGAAGGAAAATAACACCGCTGAAGGAATTGAGATGATGCTGTGGGCTGAAATGTGTTCCCCTCAAAAATAATTCTGGACATCTTGGCATGTAATTAATTTGGCAGATATAATTAGTAAATATGAGGTGATAAGATCTATTGTAGGATGGACCTATGAAACAGTATAACGACTAAGAGTCATGTGGAGTCTCAGGCCCAAGGACATCGCTGAAGGTAGATGACCAATCATTGCCAACTGTCACAGGAAGCCAGAACAGGCGCATGGAATAGATTGTTCCTCACAGCTCTACAAATAAACAGAAAATAAACTTGTGACATTCTGATCTAGAACTCTTGAGAAAATGTTTGCTGGCTAAGCATCCCACCCCCGGCCTGTGATATTTTGTTGTGGTCCCTGAACTGAATCTTGTGCGGCAGTGTGGTGGTGGGCTTCCACAAAGAGCAGAGTGGCGTTGAGGCCATAGCTCAGGGGTACGGTACCTGCCTAGTATGCCATTTGTTCCACAACATCAAAAATAATACATTCCAGTGTATCTCCGGAAGCACGATTAATAAAAATTTAAGCAAAGAAAAGCAGCCTACAAACCACAATCCCAGAGAACTTAGACAACAAAGAGGACCCTAAGAGAGACTTACAGATATAATCTACATGGAAAGTAGAAAAAAAGACAAGATCGCCTGAGTAAATTTGGAGCATGGGGACCTGGCAGGGAGAGTTGAAGGGGGGGAGGAGGGAGGCAGGGAGGGGAGCAGAGAAAACTGTAGAGCTCAATAAAAATCAATTTAAAAAATTGGAAAAAAAACCCTCAGGGTCAGAAATTGGGGTTCAACCTGAAGATCCGAAAAGCAAAGCAACCAGCCATCGACTCTTATCTCTATCTCAGTCTGAAATGATGATCCTGCCTCCAGGAATCTCAGATCTGAGACTGTGTCTGAGAACTGTATCCCCCGCCCCCCACCACCCCTTTCCCGTTTTATATTCCTCTCCAGGGCTGGGATTAAAGGTGTGCACCACTGGGATTTAAGGCATGCACTGCCTGGTTTCTATGGCAACTAGTGTGACTACTGGGATTAAAGGTGTGTGCTACCATAACCTGGTCTATAAGGCTGACCAGTGGGACTGTTTTACTCTCAGATCTTCAGGCAGTCTTTATTTATTAAAATACAGTTGAAACGCCACTACAATTTCCCAATACTAACAATAAGAAACTGGGGAGTAAAGACTTAAAATATCACAGTGGTGTCCTCAAACATTTACATTTAAGTACAAATGTAAAGATATACAGGGCCTCTCCACTGAAGATTTTTAATATTGCTATGAAAAATTTAAAAGTTGTGGAAAAATCTCATTGTTTACATTAAGGTTTGCCATTTAGTTCATCTACATAATCAGTTGAAGTCAGTGCAGATTGTGTGTGGTGGATGAAAATAGAATATGACAAATTTATTTTAAAAGTATGGAAATACAAAGGATCTCGATATGTCCATTGTTAAATATTTACTACTGAGTATTTGATTTGATATTGAATACATAAGTAAAAGAGTTAAGGTGAAGATCTTTCTTTAAAAGATTTATTTACATCTTTTCTGCATGGATGGTTTGCCTACATGTATGTATGTGTACCATATGACTGCCTAGTGCCTGTGGAAGCCAGAAGAAGGTGTTATTTCCCTGGAACTGGAGCTACCCTGTGGGTGCTGGAAACTGAGAGGCAAGTACTCCTAACCACTGAGCAATCTCTCCAGTCCCCAAAGTTGAAGATCTTATTTTTTATGACTTATTCTAAAATTACAGCAGTCATCCAAGTGTGGAGGCACATGCCTTTAATCTCATCACTTTGGGAGGCTGAGACAGGTGGATCTCTGAGTTTGAGACTAGCCTGGACCACAGAGCAAGTTCTAGAACAGCCAGAGCTACACAGAAAAACCCTGTCTCAGGTAAAAAAAAAAAAAAAAAAAACAACAAAAAAAACAAAACAACAACAACAAAAAAAAAACAGTTACAATAGAGTCTTGGTATATAAAGGTGCTTGCCACCAAGCCTGGTAACTTGAGCTTGTTCCTCAGGACCCATGTGGGATGAAGAGAACCAATTCCTACACATCTCTTCTGTGTGTTTTATGGCACGCACGCACGCACACACACACATACAGAGAGAGAAGTTTATGGTGAGAAATAAAAATAACTCAACAGGTAAATGGATTTTTGGGTTTTCTTTTTTGTTTCTTTTTTTTTTAAGAATATAAACTTTTTTCATTATACATACAAATCCAAGTTCCCACTCCCTCCCCTTCTCCCATTCCCTCCTCAGAGAGGGTAAGGCACATTGCTTTGCAGAAGGTCCCAGGCCCTCCCTATTATATCTAGGCTGAGCAAGGTATCATCCAAAGAGAATAGGATCCCAAAAAGCCAGCCAGTACATGCAGTAGGGGCAAGTCCTGGTGCCACTGCCAGTGGCCCCTCAGTCTGCCCCAGCCATGTAACTGTCAACCACATTCAGAGGGACTAGTTTGGTCCTATGTTTGTTCCTTCCCAGTTCCGCTGGAGTTGGTGAGCTCCCATTAGCTGCTCAGGTAGACTGTTTCAGTGGGTGGATTTCAGGTTTTCTACAGTGGTGCTAGACGAACTTCACCTCTATCAAGGTAGGATGGGTCTTTTGCCTCACACTGTACACCAAATGGTGTCTCGCGAAGCCTCTGTATTTAAAAGTTCAAACCAAAGACCTTTGACTGCAGCCCATCCCAGAATTCCAACCCATGCAAATTTCATGCTGACCCTCCCATCCATGCGTGAAGGCAGAGACCCTTGTATCAGCTTCTTGATACAGCCCACTTGATTTGACCAGCCCTGTGTGAAGTCAGAGACCCACAACTCCATCCTTCAACCCTTTCTTAGCCACCTGTGGGTTAACTAGCCAAACCAGGATGACCTCAGATTACAGCATTCAAAATTTTCTCTAGGACTGAACCTCAACCAACATAGCCAAGACAGGCTTAGTTCGGGTAACACCAAACCAAGCATTCAGCATAGGACTATAAGACTATAAGGTACGAACCCACCTACATAATCTCTTTCAGACCTCGAGGCCAGAACCAGTAACAATCTAAGACACAGTTCCAGAATAGTCCTTAAAATGAGAGAAGACAAAGTGAATGTCTATCACAGGACCTCTCAACTGTAAGGCAACCTAGGAGCCAAGGTAGGAATGCAAGACACCACAGAGGGAACACAGCAGTGAGGGCTTCTATTCTGGAGTACTGTCTAGTTTTGCAATTGTAAGTTTACCCTAAGGCAGTGGTTCTAAACCTTTCTAATGCTGTGACCCTTTAATATACTTCCTCATGCTGTGGTGACCCCAAAACCTAAAATTATTTTTGTTGCTACTTCATAACGTTAATGTTGCTACCGTTATGAATTGTAGTGTAAATATATGTGACCCATGTGAAAGGGTGGATCAACCCCTTTACAAAGGAGGCACGACCCACAGTTTGAGAACCACTGTTCTAAAGGTGAGGTCTGGGTATAGAACTTGAAACTCTGAATACCAGCCTAACAGAAAGGTCAGTTTGCCGTAGCATAACCTAGCTCTTGCAGAAAACTATAAGCACTCTCATGAAAGAACAAAAACCAAGGACCAAGCTACTGATGTGTAAGTCCCAAACAGCAACAAGAAAGACAACTTGTTCCTTCAAAAGAGATCAATCCCAAACTGGAAAAGATGGAAATGATCCAGACAAATAATTTCATAAAGTGACTGAAAAGGTATGCAAACAAATGAAGAACAGAAATAAACAGCTGATGGGAATATGGAAGGCAGTACAGAATGGGGGGAAAGGATTAGAAATAGTGAAAGAAAAATGAAATGCTGAAGATGAAAATTTCAGTAAATAATGCAATAAAAAGCACTAGTGATAGATTAGAATATGAGAAGGTGGAATTCAGGAGTTTAAGACAAAGTGGAAAAATTGGATTTTTTTAAAAAGGCACTTAAAAAAAAGTATGAGTGGAATTTGTAAAATCTTTGGTATATCATGAGAAAGCCAAATCTAGAAATATGGGCCTAGAAGTACAAGAACTCTATTCCAAAGGCACAGAAAATATTTTCAATGCAATCCTTAAAGAAAATTCTGCAAATCTAGGATAAGAGGGACCCATCCAGCTACAAGCAATTTACAGTGTACCAAATAGACAGAACCACAGTAAAAACTCTTCATACCTATTGTAGCTTAAACACTAGATAGACTGAATGAAGGTGTATAAAAGCTACAAAAGAAAAATGGCAAGATTCATGCAAAGGTAGGCTCATTAAAATAATTGCTCTACAGAAACTCAAGGCCCACATCTCTGAGCCCAAACTAACACACCCAGCAAATGACCATGTGTGAGGGAGAAAAAAAAATCTCATGATAAGGGCAGACTGAAAAAGTTTATAGCCACCAAACCAGCTCTACCATGGATACTGGAAGGAATTAAGAAAAACAACAACAACAAAAAGTATCCAAGAACAGTAACACAAAAATCAAAGACTAAAAACACAACTTTCAATACTATTTTGCATTTTATTGGTCTGAGTTTTCAAATCAGAAGACATACATACTAGCAGTTTAAATGAGAAAATAAGATAACCGAGGAAATTTGGAAAATCATAATGACAGACCTTTAAAACCCCACCCTACAAAATTGGAAAATCTGAAAGAAATTATTGAGTTTCTTGATGCACATGCCCAAACTCAACCAATGTGAGATAAACAATTTAAATGAGACTATAACAAGCAACAAGATTAAAGCAGGAGTAAAATTAACTTCATAGTTTCAAAACTCCCAGTCCCTATGTATTATCTGCAAATTTCTATTAAACTTTCAAAGAAGAAATAAGATCAATGCTTCTCTGATGTGGGAGTGATTTCTTATTAATAAAGAAACTGCCTAGACCCATTTGATAGGCCAACCCTTAGGTAGGCAGAGAAAACAGAACAGAATGCTGGGAGAAAGAAGCTGAATCAGGAGTCACCATGATTCTCCCACTCCAGACAGACGCAGGTTAAGATCTTTCCTGGTAAGCCAGCTCATGGGCTACACAGATGATTAGAAATGGGCTAGTCCAGGTGCGAGAGTTAGCCGAGAAAAGGCTAGATATAATGGGCCAAGCGGTGTTTAAAAGAATACAGTTTCCATATAATTATTTCGGGGCATAAGCTAGGCTAGCCATGTGGGTGGCCAGGTGCCGGGGACGCAGCCCCGCTGCTCCTATTTCAACACTTCTCAAAATATTCTGTAAAATAGAAAAGGAATGGATGATTCCATATTTATTTTCCGAAATCAGCATTACATGGATAGCTAAAGATACCAGATAAAGATGACAAGAAAACTAATCTCCCAATGAACATAAATACAAAAAAAAAAAACTTAATACTTGCAAACCAACTCAAGAGTACATCAAAAAGATCATCACCTTGATTAAATTGGCTTCATTCCTTAGATACAGGGAAGATACAACATACATAAATCAATAAATGTAATTCAATATGCAGATGTACTCAAAGATAAAAAGCATATACTTATCGCAGTAGATACAGAAAAGTTCTTGACATCAAATATTTGGGTTGGTTGGTGGTGCAGGCTTTT